TCTTCTTTTCTGCTACCACCATCTTCTTCTTTATTTCTTCTATGTGTGTCTTTATTTTCATAGGTTTAGGTGGACTTCCCTTTCTATGAATTCTTTCCGAATCATCTATTTCAGTCTGTGGATCTCCAGTTTCTGCAGCTATAGTTTCTCCTTATTTATTCCCTTGCTGGTCATTTTGTGCTTCACCTGTTTGCTGAGAAGATAACATTCTATCTAAATTGATTTCCATCTTGTCGAATTCTGTCATAAGGTATTCCATGGCTTCCTCATTTTTTTATCCTTTTGAATTTAGTATTGTTGAATTCCTGGATAATATGTTGAATCTCAACAATGCACTTGTTGCAACTATTTCTTCTTCTTTTCTTTCAACATGTACCTTCATATTATTTTTCCTCCACCTATCTATGAAATATTTGTCTGGAATTGTGCTGATTTTCTTTTCAATGACTATTTTCCGGACATGAGAGCATAGTATCCCATCTTTGGTGAATTTTGTACATATACAGGTAAATTCTTCTTTGCCTTCTATGTAGGTCAGTGCTTACTATATACCTCCTTACTCTATGAATGTTGTGAATCTGGTTACTTTTCTGTCAGACCTCAAACGTTTTCCCTTCTTCAGTTTCCATGTAGCTCAGCCTTGCTGTTGCCTTTAGTTGAATCTGAAACTTTTTGAATATGTTTTTGTTGTATAGCTAAGTTGCCTGTTATTCTATTCTATAGCCGAATATAAATTCCTTTGGCCTTTTCTGCTTGCTATAGCTATCCTTTAACTTTTCTTCTCGATTTATGGTATCAACAATTCGATTGTACTCTTTCAGAAAGCTAATGATACTATAAGTTGGCCCTACATTATCTTTGAACCTCGCATTTGTTGCCTCACTTCTGGATGTGGTCTATATAAAAAGGAAGAAGTCATTTTTAGTAGACCGAGATAAACCTTTTTCTCATTTCCCATATTTTGGAATAGTACTTATTCTTTTGAAGGTTTATTTCCTCAATCATTCTCTTCCAAAGTTGTTCAAATTCTTCCACTGTTATACTATTGTTCACTGTATCTTCAAAGTCTTTATATAGTCCTTCGTTTGCTGCAGACACCTTGACATTCTTAATGTATCATTTGGTCTTTATGTGGAACAAGCAGTTTCTGTGCTTTGTGTTTATGAAGACTTGTTCTATTGTTGATTTCATCGCCATGTCTTGGTCTGTGATGATTGTTTAAGGGTGTTTTTCTCCCATTGCTTCAAGGAAAGTTTGAAATACCCACATAAAAGTTTCAATTGTCTCATCATGCAGGAAAGCACGTCCGAAGAGGCAACTTTGGCCATGTCCTGTTATCCCAACAAATGGTGCGAAAGGCAAGTTATATCGATTGGTCATATATGTCATGTCAAAACTTACACATTCTCCATAATCTGCATAATATTTCATAGAAGAACAGTCTGTCCAGAATAAATTTCTAACTCTTTTGTCCTCATCTAAATCAAACTTGTAAAAGAAAGAAGGATCCATAGTTTGTTTCTTTCTGAAATAATCCAGTACTTTTGTCATATCTGAACATTTAATTTCTTGGTTTAGCTTTGTCCTATAGTTACTGATATCTTTCTTTTTCATCGTAGAGCTGTTAGTCTCCCTCTCATATATGATAGAATAGAAACCATCTTCCTAGTCGGGATATTGTTATTGTTCAGAGTCTTGATAAGTCCTTTTTCCATATCTGTCATGTACTTGTGTCCAGAAAATAGCTGATCCCTCTCTCCAGGGCATAGCTCATGATTATGTTCCAAATCAAGAGTTTTAATCTTTCATATACCTCCTTCTTCTTTCACCATTATAACACAAGGACAATCTAATTTCTACTGCACATTTGTTTTCCTTCTCCTTACCAGTTGCTTTTCAATATCCTTGTCTATTTCTGTTGCTTTTTGCTCTAAAGACTTTGGTGCCTTTTCTTTTCCTTGACGATTGCATCTCATTGTTACTTTCACTATCTCATTATTTCTTTTCTTACTTGTAGTTCTTGTTGTATGTGTTATGACAACTTCAAATCCGGCTAGGAATGTATAGAAGTTGAAGAACTGGTGAGCATCATGCCTAGTCTTAAATTTCATTGATAGCTGTGGGGTGTACTTGCTGTTGATTGATGCATTGTTGCCTTCAGATGTTGCAACCTGCTAATTTTTTTATGAATTCTTCAATCTCTTCCTCCGTCAGTTCCTGGCTACCATTTACATGTTCATTATCATATGTTACTGTTGATGTAATATCTGAACTTGCTGTTTCTACTGCTATGATCCTCAAGTCATTTTCTCCCATTGTTGGTTGATCATCTTGATGTTCTTACTGTGCCTATAAATATATTAGCAGCAGTCTTAGTTTCTGAGTAATTGTATTTATAATACAAATAATTTTTTTCACTGTAGACTGAAATAATTGAAGAGATCATTTTTATGTACCTCATCAATTTCTATGTTATTAAATACATCAATTTACCAATGATATTGTTCAATTTCAGATCTATCATCATCAGCCATGCTTGCCATTTCTCCATCCTGTTTTTGCAAAGATAAGTTTACTTTTGATGCCAGTACATATTTGTATTGCTTATAAATGTAATCAAATTGCTTAGATGTCTGTATCTACCTCATATGGCATTCTTGACTCTGATATTGACCACTCAGTTTGTGGTCCAAAGATTCTATCTAGATCCTCAAGGCTCATATTCTGTGTTATTTGTTTGTTAATGATAATGATTATTATTTACCAAAAATATAACACAACTAGATTGATAAGCATATACAATTTTACCTCATTCATGTCATTTTCAATTATCATCTGTGTCAATGTTCCTTGTATCCCTTCATGTAGCTGCACAGTTTATAATGAAGCATTGAAAATTACACTCCTGTTATGCTGAATTTACATCTCATATATGGGTGTAATTTGCACATGTGTGCACTGTAATTTCTGTATACTTGTAGTATAATTTTTACCTGCCTATTCCTATCAGTCTGATCATCTTTCTGTGAGTTCCTGATTTGTTTCATCATAAGTTCAGTGTAGCCTCTCTGCATTGAAATATATTTTAGTTCAAAAAAACAACCTTTTTATCTTGACATTTTTTAATCTAAGTAATGATTTGCTCACCTTTTTATATCTGTAGGTATTTGAAGGGCCGGTATCAAATCTAGTAAGTATTTTTGCATCATAATTGGTGTCCCTATTATGCTCATCTTTGTCATTGTAACTAATGTCTGGTAGATTTGTCAACATAGAATTTGCACATGCATTCTGTCCACCCTACATCTATTTAAACATATATACTTATTGATATATGTCTAGTTGCACTGAGTACATGATTATTTGAATCAATATTTTTAATCTAGTACCTGGTTAGTCTGGTACATCAATTGCAGTGTTTCTAGCCACTTCTTTATCCCATCTGCTATTGTGAGATCAAAGTTTGGTTCTGAGTTCTCACTTATATGTGTATATGGTACCTGCAGTAGATGATGTACATCATTCAGTAATGTTAAATTTAGGAGGATTCACCTGTATTTCTAGTAAGTCCATGGAAAATAGATTTTTCCTAAACCAAAACTTAATTATTAACATTTATATTACCTGAAAGTTATGCCCATCTATAGTTTCAGTGATCTTTTACACTTCCTATTCAAGTCTTAATTTTTCCCTATTCTTTGCCTGCATTTATTAATAAATGATGATATGTCATTAGGATAAAGTTGAAGCATCATAAAGAATCAGTATATGAGATTATAGTCATTCCTAGCCACCTCTGTCCCTGCACCACATCAAAACTGCTAGTTGAATTGATAGTGGTATAAGTAGCAATACTTGCATGAGCCGCATCTTTAAATTGTATACATGTATAGTATAATTGCATTAGCAGCAAGTACAAGTTGCACTATGTCAAATGTGCAATTTCTATATTTTTGTTTTGTAATTTATAATAGGAATATAGCAAATGCATAACAGATATATTTGTAATTTTATTTGAGGATTGCTGAGTGGTGTGGCTGCAGAATTACTTTTAGAAATTGGCCCAGAAAATTCGATGTGTGTGTGTGATTTATGCTAGCTACATGTGTCTTTGATTTGATGCTCTCTGTTTTGCACTATGCTCTCTGTGTTTCTAGCCTTTTAGATGACATCACAATACCCAAGTGCTGGATCTGCTCTTTGTGCACAGTGAGCAACTAGGGCCACACCCTGCTGTTGGAGCAATCACAAGCAGCAGTCCATCTTTTCCATCCTGACTTTGTTTATAGCTCCCATGATTACAAATTCCATGGATCTGGTTTCTCCTAGTCTTTCATCTTAGCTGCTAATTTGTTTATTGTTGCTTCTTCAGAGAAATTGGTTTACTAGAGAAATTGATTCAAAAGATTGGTGTACTAACCTTGGTTGATGAGGTATGAATCAGACTTGTAGTGCTTGTTCTTCAAATTTTCTTTGCAATCTGATTTCTGCCCTTGTCCCCTACGTGAGCAGAGCAGAGCTTTTCCCCACGCAGAGCAGATCTATTTTATTTGCTTTGCTTCTTTCCCAAGTCTTATCTATTTTATTTCTATGGATTTCGTGTTGTTGGGCTGTTTTCTGGGCTGCTGTATGTTTCATGGGTCATTTCTCATTTTAGATGTTGGGCTCTACTATTTTACTCTTCAGTTGCATAGAAATTACAATAGATCTACTCTGCGTGGGCCTTCTTTTAAAATCAAGTATTTTACAGGCAGCCAACAACAATGTGCTAGCTTGTGCTAAAACACACGCTTTTTGCTCTGTTGGAAATCATGTGTTCTGTAGGTAACCAACAACCATGTGCTAGATTGTGCTAGAACACATAGTTTTTCTCTATTACAAATCGTGTGTCGCCATTGACTCAGACGTGGAGGCCACTGTCCCACCACTTCACACCCTTGCAGGCCAAGCCGAGGTCGCCACCGAGCCCGCCTCCCGCTCCTCCACCCCGCGCTCGTAGCTCAAGATATGGCCGAGTTCACCATTCCTGCCGGTTGCCGCCGCCATGGCTGCCGCGCACGGCAACCCGCAGCAACCCCCCGGGCGCAGCACAGCCGCACCAGGCCGCGGAACAGCGTCGGCACCCGTAGCACCAGCCTCCCCAGCACGGGCACGTCGAAGACCGCTGTCGGGAACGCCGACAGGGACGCGGCGACGTTGACCAGCGTCATTCTCCAGACGGCCCCCGTGTTCGCTGACACAAACACGGCCCCAGCCGCGAGCGCGGAGTCGGGCAGCATGGGTGGATGGGGGCCACGCTGAGTGCCTCCGCGGTCACGATCGTCGAGTACGTGCGGAGACCTCCGCGCGCGGCGCGGCGACGGCTGGCTCCTCCTGGTATGGGACCTCGCCGGTCTGCACGAGGTGCTCGAAGGCGTGGAAGATGTCGTGGTTCATGATCTCCTTGAGCGTCGTGGCATGGACGCCGCGGGAGGAGAGCGGCTAGAGGCAGCGCCTTTCGTCGGCGTTCGAGACGGCGCTGGCGGCCGCGGCCTCGTCGTCCCCGTCGTGCTGGGAGCGCCCGCTGAACCGGGGTGGGGGAGGGGGGTAGCGTGATCGACGGGAGGAGCTACAAGCGTGGTGGCCGGCGTCCTGCTCAACTTCTGCGCGCTGCTCCTGTCATGTTCCTCCATTGATGCGAGCACCCGCCCTGCCCCGTGGCCGCGTAGGCCGTCTCTAGCGTCGGCGTTGCGGCCGCCGCCTGTGTCACGCTTCGCCGCGCCGTAACGTGCGGACGCCATGAGCGCCCTCGCCGCCTGTGGCAGCAGCCACAGCGCCCGCGCGCCCCACGGCCAAGACGGGCCATCCCGATGTCGACATCGCGCCCGCCATCGCAGGCGCCTACCCCACTGCCGGACGCGTCGTCGTCTTTCGACACCAGTAGCGTGGGCACATTTACAAGCCGCCCACCACCCGTGCGGCGAAGCGAAGCTCGCCCGACCACCACATGACGGCCTTGCGGCGAGTCCGCCCCCTAGCAATCGCGACGGTAAAGGCAGACGAGCTCTCCTGACCACGTTCTTGAGGAGGAAGAAGGTGCCCAGGTTACTTATAGCTTAGCCCTACCGGACATAGAGAAAGAAGTGAGAGGATAAGGTTGTGAGAAAAGGGTAATTTAGACATTGTGAACGGCTGAGGCAACATGTGAGGACTGACAAACGGTGGTAACCAGATGGAAGGTGAACAGAATAACGTGTGGAGCAAAAAAGTTTAGCGTCGTGGCATCCAAATGTGTTGAACTTTTTAATCGCATATAGGCCTGCACCTTCTTTACAATGGCGCACGGCCAAAAGCCTCGTTCCAGAACGTTCGGCGCAGTGTTCTCTTCTTAACCCGCAAGCACGTGCGCCGCCGGCGAGGCCACACGCCCACCAGTCAGCCGCCACCGCCATGCGGCTCCCAGCCGGCGCACGCCTTGCGCTCCTGCTCGCCCGCCGCTCCCTCTCCTCCTCCGCGTCCTCCTCCTCCCGTCTCCCGCGGGCGCACAGAGGTAAGCCCCCATCCCCACTAGGTCTCCGATTCTCCGGTTCCTCGTGCCTCACCTGGCCTCCCCGTGCTCCCCGTGATCTCAGCTGATTCCGCGCCTTCTGCAGGGATATGGAGCGGTGCGGCACGCGCGGCGCCCTCCCGGAGTTGTCCCTTCTCGTCGCCGAGCAGCGCCCACAGGTTCTTCCACGGTGAGTGAGTGGTGGGGAAAGCGTTGCTGCTTCGCTCGTTTGGTTTCGTATTAGTTATGATCTCGGCTCGTCGGGAGTGGGGTTGATGGTGGAGCGTGGTGCAGGGACCAGGCCGGTGGCTGCAAGGGACTACTACGATGTGCTCGGCGTCAGCAAGAACGCCAGCCAATCAGAGATCAAAAAGGCCTATTATGGGGTATGGTTCCGACGCCTCGAATTCAGCCTCACATTTTGAGGGACTCGTCTGGTGTCATTGGTAGATATTGGTACTGCATGCTTAGGGGTTAGGGTGCAAATTAGGTTCACGAGAGTTGTGCTACTTCAGTTATTGTTACGATTTGTATGTGTAGTCAGTAGGGTGTTAAAGGTTCCATGTACGAAAATCATCATGGTGCAAAATGTCCAGCAATAGCCCTGTAACTGTTGCATTTAGAAAGTGCATCAGCACTCACCCAATTTAGCAAGAGTTTGGTTAGCATCTGGTCCGCATTTTTCTTATAATGTTATAGCAATGCAATGCGTATCCATGGTGTTTATTAAGATGGTACATGCTGTTATTATCCTTTCCTCAATACCCTCAAAATATCGTTAGACAGTTTCCTTTCCATTCTTCAAGTGACCTTACCTTGCCTACCTCTTTCTGCTTCTTTTGCTCTAAAAGCTTGCAAAGAAGCTTCATCCAGACACGAATAAAGGTGATGTGGATGCAGAATGTAAGTTTCAAGAGGTTCAACGAGCTTATGAGGTACTTGATGTCTGTTTAGTGTGTTGTGCTTATACCTAACTTAAAGGTGTGTTGGTTCTGTGAATTCTGATGCATAATTTTTGCTGTCAATGTAGACTTTGAAGGATGAACAAAAAAGATCATTATATGATCAGGTAATGATTCAACTGTTTTGATGGCATATATGTTTACATTTGTACTCCTCTTCCTTAGCACAAGTTTAGTGATGATCCATAAGTGGTTGAATGTTTGAAACTTGTTGGTAGTTCTCTTATCCACACCACACTATACACAATAGTGAGCGTACCAACCTTTAGAGTAAGATTACCTGGTGTCTTGGGGCACTGATGGAATTAGCATTAACTTCTACAGGTTGGTCCTGATCAGTATGAGAAAGCTGCTTCTGGCGGAGGCGGAACTGGCTTCGAGGGTGGTTTTGGAAATCCATTTGAGGATATTTTTGGTGGTGGCGGTGGCGGCGGTGGAATGAATGATGTATGTCATCCCTTTACAAATTTACTTATCATAGCTTATAGATTTCCTGTTTTAGTAGTTGGTTTGCTTCTTTTCAACTTTGTACAATATATGTCACTGACCGGTCGGAAAAAAACTCATCTTCTATGGAAGCTTTTTTCATTTTGCATTCTTATTTCATGGAGCTTCGTCGATCTAATCAGAAAGTGAGAAAACATGTGTTTAGTAGGCACTGTGATTTCTGTCTTCTTATCTAATATATGCTACAATTTATTCTACCTCATGAAGTCCATAACTGATCTGGAATCAAGGGGATATCCCTTGGTGTATGTTGTTTGCTGATGATGTAGTGTTCAAGGGGATATCCCTTGGTGTATGTTGTTTGCTGATGATGTAGTGTTAGTGGACGAAAGTCAGGCGGGAGTAAATAGGAAACTAGAGTTATGGTAGCAGACCCTCGAGTCTAAAGGTTTTAGATTGAGCAAAAATAAAACCGAATACATGAGATGCGACTTTGGCGGAGCTGCACAGAAGGAAGGAGATGTGAGTTTGGAAGGTCAAGTAGTGCCTAAGAAGGTACCTTTCGGTATCTGGGATCGATGCTACAGAGGGATGGAGATATTAATGCGGACGTTAGCCATAGAATCAAAGCAGGGTGGATCAAGTGGCGACAAGCTTCTGGCATTCTGTGTGACAAGAGGGTACGATAAAAGCTAAAAGGCAAGTTCTATAGAACGGCGATTAGACCGGCTATGTTGTATGGAGCAGAATGTTGGCCTACAAAGATTCGACATGTTCAACAACTGAGTGTTGTAGAAATGCGTATGTTGCGATGGATTTGTGGTCACACAAGAATGGACCGAGTTCGGAACGATGATATACGTGATCGTCTAGGGGTAGCACCAATTGAAGAAAAGCTTATCCAACATCGGTTGAGGTGGTTTGGCCATGTCCAAAGGAGACCTCCAGAGGTACCAGTGCATTGTGGAGTCCTAAGCCAAGCTAATAATATGAGGAGAGGTAGAGGAAAACCGAAATTGACATAGGGGGAGGCAATAAAAAGATATTTGAAAGCTTGGGATATATTTAGAGATCTATGTTTGAATAGGAGTGCTTGGAAAGCAGCTATTGAAGTGCATGAACCGTGACTTGGGACTCTTGGTGGATTTCAACTCTAGCCTACCCAAACTTGCTTGGGACTGAAAGGCTATGTTGTTGTTGTTGTTTTATTTTGTATAGTTTCTTTCATTTCGTTATTTATTGCGTAATTTCTTGTTGGTTACTTGGATGTTATATTTCTATTTCCTTTCTCCATTACTTTGTTTTATAACTTCAGAACTGATGACTTTTAGTTGATGAGTGTACTTTAGTTCTGTTTTACATCTGCTAAAACTAATTCTAGTTTTTTTTGTATTTGTTCGTTATGAAGTTTTTTAGGAATATTTTCCGGGATAGGGATTTTGGAGGACGAGATGTTAAGGTAATTTCTGCACTCATTTTCATTGCACATTAAGTTGTACCCTGTGCATTGCAGTTCCATTGATCCCATTTCGCAGGTTGCGCTTGAACTATCATTTATGGAAGCAGTTCAAGGGTGCAGCAAAACGATCAACTTCCAAACGTCTGTAACATGTGAAACCTGCGGTATGTAGATATAGTTTTTATCTCATGACTCCATTTTTTAGGTATTTAGGCCTTCTGATTTTTTTTTCTGATGATGACTTCTTTTTCAGGTGGAACCGGTGTGCCTCCTGGAACCAAACCTGAAACATGTCTATCTTGCCGGGGGACAGGATTTGTTAGTTCTTCCTCCATCACATTGCTTTTGTCTATCCAGTTTAACTAGTGTTCTTATTTATGTTGGTTTTTAACTATTGTTGACAGATGTTCATGCAAACCGGGCCCTTCAGGATGCAATCAACGTGCACAAAATGTGGTGGTTCTGGGAAGAGTGTGAAGGTATGATTTCCCTTTTTAATGATAGATATCAGCTGCAACAAAAAGAAAATAGTGTATGTAGCAGGCCTCGTATACTATGAATCATCATAGTACACCTTCAGCACAGATATTTCACTGAGGTTGACGATCCTGAAGCCTGAAGCCTGAATTACTTTGAACCTCACAATATTTTTTCCTACTAGTCATGGTTCATGAATGATTTATTTCCTAACTGCACATAAAACCAGCTCTATCATGTTAACTGCTTAAAATAGGTAATTGAGTTACCCTGTGCTCTGTGGACTTCCTATATAGTGCAGCTTATGAGTTCTGATTAATTACCACAACATTGTGGTTATGTTTCTGTGTCATTCTTTTAGGAATTCTGCAAGACATGCAGAGGTAACAAAGTTGTGCCTGGAACGAAATCAGTCCGCCTTGACATACTGCCTGGTGGGTTTCAAGTTGTCATGGTTCATTGGAATCTTTCAGTGCTCTTAGGATGCTCTTGTTATGTGTTGCAAGATATAATTGAACATTATCCTTTTGTTGCAGGTTCGGATAACGAGGATACTATAAAGGTGGTTAGATCAGGTGGAGAAGACCCAGATGGCCGACCAGGTGATCTTTATGTGACCCTCAAGGTCAGTCCTCTTCGGCCCTTACAGTTCAGTTGCACAGTTGATGAATGAACGAATATAGTTAACCTGCAAAGGCTATTTTTTCTCCAGGTTCGTGAGGATCCTGTATTCCGGAGACAGAAAGGTGATATTCATGTTGATGCTGTCCTGAATGTGACTCAGGTAATTTGGTGCATTTTCCAACAATCTGTTCATTTTGCACCCTATGAATATAGCTAAATGAAGTGTCCATATGGTGCTAACCACCTTTCCATGGTGCTAAGATGTGAACCTCATTCTGATACATCGACTTACCGAAGAGGCAAAGAAAGAAAGAAAAAAATCTTTATGGCCTCTCAGGCAGCTAGCAATATTCTTACTTTAATCACACCGGCAGACTGGCTCTTGATGTTGTCTGTTACCACCAACAAGGGACTTAGAACCTTATGTGGGTCTTTTAAATGAAATATCCGTCTACTAGTAACTCAGACAGTCAGGTATAGTCTAGGCTATATCTTTGTGCCTGCATCTCTACTCCCCTAGTCCCCTGAAAATTGGTGATTAGGCTGTTTCCTTAGCAGTTTTTAGTAGCATGCATATTCTGATTGCTCATACTTTGTAGGCAATTTTGGGAGGGACAGTTCAAGTCCCAACTCTCAGTGGAGACATTGTTCTAAAGGTACGTCAGATAGCTGACTTTCATTGTACATTCCCTCTATATCTTTGATAATTTTCATTGACCTTGCTATCTTCTCACAGGTCAAACCTGGTACTCAACCTGGTCAGAAGGTAGTTCTGAGAGGAAAAGGTAATTTACTCTGCAGATTTCTGTTCTGTTTTGCGAGTGCATTTATCTCTTTAATTACAGCTTGTAACACAGCTATAATGCGTACTTGTAGTCTTTTGAATGGCATGCCTGGTGTTCCTAAAATTATTGTTGTTTAGTTAACTGCACAAAATGAAGCGGTTAGGTTAAGTGAAACAGGAAAATATTAATATTTAATAGCACACAGAGAGATAAGGGAACAGAATGTGCACAAGATGAAACAATTAAGTTGATGAATATCCAAAAGTTTTCTGGAACATAGTGATGTCAGATTATTTTCTTGTGTGGAAGTAACAAAAGTTTGGCGTGAGTTGGAGTGAGTTGGTGTGAGTGTGAGGGCTTGCCTTTTTGGCTGGCCTGGGGTGTGTTGTATGGGTTCTTTCCCATTTTTACTTCTTAATATAATGATACACAGCTCTCCTGCGTTTTTCGAGGAAAAAAGTAACAAAATTATGAATAAATCAATCAATCAAATTTTCCTGCTTATGTGTTATAAATTTAAGCGGCATCTAGGTGAGCTGCCAATTTGAATTTAAGAAGTTGTGGGAACTTGCATGTGCATATAAACCAAAACCTAAATACTGATGTATCCTGCAGGGATCAAGACAAGAAACTCACCGTACTATGGAGATCAATATGTCCATTTCAATGTCAACATCCCTGTGTAAGCTGCCTCTCAAAATGGAGTACTCTTATACTATTGTGCATCGAACTGCTATATGTGAGCCTCACATATAATGTCCTGCAGAAATTTGACACCAAGACAGCGGGTGCTGATTGAGGAATTCGCGAAGGAAGAGCAAGGCGAAGATGAGAAGGACGTGAAGGCAGCCGGGGCATCAGGATAGCCGATTTTAGGAGCCAATCCACGTTCCAATAGCGCCTTAGCTGATATTTATACGGTGAGGTAGAATAGGCTGCTGCCTGAAATTCGCAGGGGCAAGATATAGCTGGTTGCGTGGAATGCTGGAATTTCCACCGCAACATATAGATCTTTGTTTGGGATTTTGTAGTTGGAATAACTAGATCGCCCTGCCTGATGTGTTTAATCCTAAGCCTAATACTAGCAGGGTGTGCAAGGACTCCTGTACAATTTTGTGGATCAGAGTGAGCTGATGTAAAAACACACGGTACCGATGCCAATTCATGTTCTGTCGAGATTTCGGCTTTTATTAAGATGGACTGCTGTAGTGCCTGGCTAAACTTTTTTTCCTGTTCACTGTAGTGCCTGGCTAAACTTTCTTCCTATTCTTGACGAAAGATGTATTTCCAATTCCTTTTATCTGTTTCGAAGAATATAGACATTCCGATATACGCTTTCCGTGCTAAATTATAAGAGCAACTCCGACAGCCTCGTTAACATGTTCTCCAAAATACCGAGCAGTCTATCCCGCTTTCTTCGCTCATCAGAGTAGGCGAGCGGGCATCGCTCGCCATCCGGGTCGCCCCCGTGTTTACCGCGCGCGCCTCGATGACGCACTACACAACGCCGCAGCACAACGTCGTGCTGCAGCCCACCGCGCTACACAACGACGCAGCACCTCATCCAACCGCGCTCGCACCACCTGCCACGCCCGGCTGCTCCGTGCTCCCCGCTGGCACCACCTCAAGATGTGTAGCCACTCAGTGCCTGAACAATGGAGGAACGAGCGGTGAGGACTGAATGATCGAACATGATAAGATAGAGAGAGAGCTTGCAGATGGATGTTTCAGAGTTCAGACCGTGTGCGAGTGGCAGCACTTAGCAAACGAGGCACAGTATTCGCTACAGTGGTACAGTAATTCGAGTAGTTTTAATGTGGGGTCTAATGACGTGGTGGCAGTTTTCGAAATAAAGAGCCAGTTTTGGAGAAGCTGCCGTGGAACTTCTCCATTTTGAGTAGCTAAATTATTTTAGAGAGCCAGTTTAGACATCCAAATTTATAGATGCTCTCGGAGATGCTCTAACTCATTCTAATTTTTTTGGCAAGTCAAAGCAATTCAAGTTTAATCAAATTTATATAACAAAATAATAACATTAATGATACCTAATAAGTAAGATTATATTCTTCATTAATTATAATTTTTATAGTATACGATGTCATGAATCTTAATAATTTTGGTTGAATTTGAGATGTTGTGACTCTCCAAGAAAGTTAGAATGATTTGTAATTTGGAACGGAGGAAGTATAATTTGTAGGGGTTGGCATGGGTTTGTGCTTTATCTCTGAAGATGCCAATTCATTTGGTACAATTTTATGTAAATTCAATTAAATTAAAAAAATGATTATTCAAAAGGTGAGATTATAAAAAAGTTACTTTTTGGTACAAATCTGTGGCCGCAGCTCGCATGTACCAGACGAGCGGTTCTGCACCACCAAATGCAGCCACCATCTCTTCACCAAACAAACTGTTGCTATCGTCTCAAATTCCCCCAAGCCCAGAAAAATGCTGCTGCTGTCGTCACGACGACGACGCAGGCGAAGAGGGACGACGGCGCGAGCATGGTGAGGCCGGCGCTGGCGTGCTGCAAGCTCTACATCTCCGAGGCCCGCAACGCGGGGGCGCTGCGCGCCATCGAGCGCGCGGCGGCGGGGCTCCGCCCGGCGGCCGTGCTCGTGAACGCCTTCGCCGACGACGATTACAACCGGGTCGGGTACACGCTCGTGTCCCCTCTCGCGGGCGACGTCGCCGCCTCGCCGCCGCCGCTGCACCGCGCGGCGTTCCGCGTGGTCGCGGCCGCGCTCGAGGCCGTTGACTTCGGCGCCCACGCTGGCGCGCACCCGCGCCTCGGCGTCGTCGACCACGTCGCGTTCCACCCTCTGGCCGGCGCCCGCCTCGAGGACGTTGCCGCGCTCACCAGGGCTGTGGCGGCGGACATTGGAGACAAGCTTCAAGGTCCGTTGCTCCTCACCCCCCAAATGCGATTTTGCTGCAATTGATGAATAGACGACTGCATCTAAGAATCAATCAACTGAGCCAAAAAAAAGGCACCATCTTTGCTATATACAATTGCATAAGCCTTGCAGATAAACCACCTTTTAGGGCCAAAATCTGCAATTTTCACTGAAACATGTGCTTAACCATTGTGCATTTCTATGTAGCAGTGCCTACGTATCTCTACGGCGCAGCTCACAAAGACGGCAGGACGCTGGCGTCCATCAGGAGGCAGTTAGGCTACTTCACGCCGACCTCCCTGGGCGGCGAACAATGGCGCGGCGCGCCGGACTCGTGGCCGTCGTCGCCGCTGCCGGTGGCCCACGACGCGGGGCCCGGGACGCCGTCCAGGTCCAAGGGCGTGGTGGTGGTGGGCGCCACGGCGTGGGTGGACAACTACAACGTGCCCGTGCGCACGGCCGACGTCGGCGCCGCGAGGCGCATCGCGCGCGCCGTCAGCGAGCGCGGCGGCGGGCTCGCGTCCGTGCAGGCCATGGGGCTCGCGCACGGCGACGGCGCCGCCGAGGTCGCCTGCAACCTGCTCGACCCGGCCGCGGTGGGCGCGGAACAGGTGCAGGAGAGGGTGCGCCGGCTAGCCGCCGAGATGGGAGTCGGCGTCGGCGAAGGGTACTTCACCGACTTCTCGCAGGAGAAGGTCGTCGAGCTGTACTTGCAGCAGGCGGCTCAAGCTGAGGCTTCTCAGCAGTGACAGGTTACTTGACATTTGGTGTGCAGTTCAGAAAGTTATCACAGGGTCATGGTGCATCACAGTACTGATTATCAGGAGCAGAAAGCAGAATTATGGAATAACACAAAACTAATGAAGTTGTGGATCTTCATGAGTTCATAATAATCTATCTAGCAAGTCAGCAGTTGTAGAATGTCACAGGCCTGTATCTCTGGACGCCTCTGAACAATGGCAAAAAGTTGAGCTGCGAACAGTAAGCAACCATCTCAATCTGGTTGAAGAACAGTGGAAGCATCTGGTTCAAGAACAATGGAAGCATTGGCATAGTATTCATAGGCTCATGGCAATGATAGGAAAATATACGTTGCCACAAAGAAACAAGACAAGCTGGCAGACTGAGACTGCAAAAGGGTGAAAACGTGCAAGGTGCTCTAGGTCTTGTTTTCGTCCTGAACAATAAAGGCGACTATAGTAAAACTGAATCAAAACTTGACTACATATCATAGCATTTGACTTTGCAGCATATTTGTTATAGTACAAAATATAATAATTTAAAACGAACAATTTCATGGGATATGTAAGTTTCAGCAAACAAGCTCAGATCTTTTTCTGCAGTCAGTAATTGAGATAGAGCACAAAACTGCATGCCAGAGAACCAAAACAAGTCCAACCGCTTACTACCGAACTACCGATCTACCGATCTACGGTACAATAAAGCCTTGTCGAATTCGCCAAGTAGCCTGTAGCCGGTAGTCAGGCCTACATATATGTTTCAAGAGGGGTTTTCCAATTGTACCAAAGAGTGATTCATAAGCTGCAAATGCAGTCAGCTCAACCTCTCAAAAAAAAAGGCCTGTCAGCTGAAGCTGACGCTTGCCCACATTGACAAGTATGCCACACTGCAATACTGATTTTCTCAAGAGATGCAAGCGCAATTAAGGTGCAAGAAACTAATGAAATTATAGATTCTTCATAAACTCATAGTCAATCTAGTAGAAGTTTCAATCATGAAACAAATTTACAAGTGCAAAAGGCTGCAATAATGTGCTAGTAACAATGCATGCATTCCAAGCCAGGTCCTTTCAATCTCTGAGTAACTGTAATTACAGAGTACAAATACATCCAAGCTGAGCACATAGAAACGATACTCTAGACCGCATAAGGTGAACATGCAACTGGGAGATTGTCCATTTAGTAGATGCGATACTATCCTTCAATTTCAGAGCTGAAACCACCTGGACCTGTTATTGTGCTCTTTTTATCCCACATCTCATCGCTGGTTCTCCCTCCTGCGTGCATAGCGGGTCCTGTCATTGTACCTAGGCCTATCTGCTGACCTCTGTGGCACGGGCTCGACCCTTCTCTGCCTCTCAGGAGGCCTGTGAACAATCTCACCGTTGACAAAGAGTTCAGCTGTGGAACAAAAAGGTTAGGGGCATTAGCATATTTTTCCAACAGCAATGCAAAAATAACCAGAAAACAGAATATAAAAAAAAAATCCTATCATTGATTGCTTTTGATGGGTTTCAACTCTAGCCTACCCCAACTTGTTTGGGACTTAAAGGCTTTGTTGTTGTTGTTGCATCACTAATACTATAGTGATTCCAAACAGCCAATGTTCGTCCAATATGCTAGGACAATTGGAGTATCCAATGTTTTATCTCCGCTGATCCACAACTCTAGTTTCGTTTCGTAAAGAGCAGAACCAAGATGGGAGTTGTCCATTATTAGCATTCAAAACAAGACATTGCCAATTGATTATCTTGTTTTGCCAAGATGGACTAAACAAAATGATGGCACAAAAACATGTGACATGAGGATACCATGGATCAGAGAGTAGACAGCTAGAGGTTTGGCAACAATTCTCTCTCAAAACCAAGTAAGGTTGGGTTTCATTTCAATTCATTTTCACCATGGCAAACCACAACTGTTCATAGTAACAGTTGTTTCATAGCTACTGATCTGTGACCCATTTCATTAAGGTGAAGAACAGTTAGAGAGACACTTGCTAGTCTAAAGACATTGCTGGGTAAGTTCCATGTTCAGCCAAGATGGACTAGAACACTAGTGTGGTTAAGAATGGTAAACAGACACTACCAAAGATAAACATACAAAGAAGCCTAAACATGCAAGTAAAATGCAAAACAAATGTCTCATCCCTACTGATCTGTGCCCCATTTTATTGAGGTGCAGAACCGTTAGAGAGACCATTGTTATTAGTCCATTAGCATTCAAAGCAAGACATTGCCAACTAGGCTCCATGCTTTGCCAAGATGGACTAGAAAACCAGTGTGGTTGAACTGGACACTGGTTCAGCTACCGAAGATAAAACTCATAAAAGCCTCTCTAGGTTAGGCTCGAAGTCGAAAATGTGCTAGTAATGTCTCATCCCTACTGATCTGAGCCTCATTTCATCAAAACACGGAACCGTTTGAGAGACACTCATTATCAGTCCATTAGCATTCAAAGCAAGACATTGCGGACTAGGCTCCAAGCTTTGCCAAGATGGACTAGAACCAGCGTGGTTGAGACTGGACACTGGTTCGACTACTGAAGACAGAACATATAAAAGCCTCTAGATTGGGCATGAAATGAGCTTGCAATGTCTCATCCCTACTGATCTGAGCCCCATTTCATTGAAGTGCAGAATCGTTAGAGAGACACTTGTTATCAGTCCATTAGCATTCAAAGCTGGGCATTGCCCAAAAGGCTTCACACAGCTTTGCCAAGATGGACTAGAATATCAACAGCATAAGATTTGGCCTGACGAGACAGCATTGAAATGGAAGCATGCCTCTAACCAATTCAATAATAAGCCTAATTTCCCGTCTCATTCAGGTAAGGCTAAAAGAAAGTGTAGATATCAATCCATAGCCATTGGAAGAAGGAAACTAATGTGCTGGCTTCATCACGCTTCCATGATGAAATATGCTATTTACAACAATCGATCCAATATGCTAGACAAAATCTAGTAGCAGCATAACGATATGCCATTCTAAGTAAGATATGAACAATCATACAGTGATAACTGGGGCAAGAGAAGAAAGCTACCTCCATAGTCCTTGTACTCAGGATCAACATACGAATCCGGGAGCACAAAGAGAACACCAGGGAGCCCTGTAGCTCAACATAAACAAAACGTCATCAGATATGTATCAGGTCGAATTTAGCAAAAAGGACAGCAAAGTAATAATGCCATCTAGAGAATAGATTGAACGAACCCTCGAGCTTATTAGATGTCTCTTCATCGATCTCGCACCCAAAACCGAAGTAGCGCTCGCACGAGACGTTGTAGATCTTTTTCTTCGCCTCCTCCTCGCTGTATCACAGGAAAAAAAAACGTCAGATTTCATTTTCGAAAACCACCCCACTCAGCTTCGAAAGGGGAACTACGGCAATCTTGGAAGGGGACGATTGGTGCCTCGGCGGGTCGGAGGAGAACGAGCCGTACGTACCTTCCGAGGACCTTGGCGAGGGTCTGGATGTAGCAGTCGATCATCTGCTGCTTGGTGGCGCCCTCCCCGCCGGGCTTGTCCATCACGATGAGCCAGTGCTCGTAGTCGCACCCAGGGAACAGCGGCGCCATCTCCGAGGGCGCGCGGTCCCCGCCCGCGCCGGGCCGCGTAGGGCCGTAGCCGTCCCCGCCCGGCCGCCGCGCCATCCCGCGCGTGAAGCCGAAGCGAGAGGCCGCCGCGACGACGGCCGGGCGCAGCAGCAGCGACTGCTCTGCGGCAGCGCCGCGTCGGAGGAGCGCGGAGAGGGAGGACGAGGAGGCGCGGCGGGAGAGGAGCCTCCGCGCGGCGGCTGCGGCGGCGGCCATGGTGGTAAAACCCTAGCTCGCGGGGATAGTGGAAGGGGCAATGGGGAATGGATGCGGAAGCGGAGTGTGTGTGGGGATCCGGATTTAAAGCTGCGTGACGGCGAGAGGTTTAAGCCCACTGAGGTTTGGGCTGTCATGGGCCTAAAGTGGCATTCATGGATCGGATCTGAGGAGCAATGAAGGAAGCCCAATTGGTGAAAGCACAAAAGGCGAGTTTCAGCGGCTCGGGATGTGCACGAATTTCATCGAGTTAAATTTCAGAACTTACTACTATTTTGATACATGTTGCAAAAAAAAAAACTTCTTATGCCCAGTATGCAAACCTACAATACAAACTATAAGTTCTTATGACCTCATGTCTCTTTTTGTTCATTATCTAAAAATATGTCTTTTTGTTGCAACATGTGTCAAAAATAGGTCTAGGTTTTTGAAATTTACTCAACTTCATCTGTACCGCCAATTGTGTGCCTCGATTGTTCCTTTCTTTTTCTGACGAATAGAGATTTTCTTATTGGAGACCAGGATTTCAACCAAAAAAAAAACTCGACACATATTAAGTGCACAATGCACAAAAGGTCATCTACCAGGCCGGTGTATATTTTTCAACCAACATATACGATAGCACTGATGTATCCTCGTTGCAGGGCTGCGAATGTACACGAATTGGTTTCCGAACCATGATGAATCTGTATATCTCACTTTGATGTATCTATTGCATTACAATATCTGTAAGAAGCCCAAGCTACACCAGCAAAGTATTAATAAAAAAAGACCCCAAAAAAGTCAAAACTGTATGAAGGCGAGGTACAAGGCACTTGTGGTTGTGGACTGCTGCAGTCTGTCTGAACCTCACTGTATCGAACTGCAAAATGCTGCAGTGACTGAACAAAGTGAGAGCGTTTGGGCCTTTGGGGGAAAGAATGAAAGAATCTGCACAGATTGATTTGTCCCGCTCAGGAAATGTTTTCAAGGTCAGGATACACTGCTGCGGAAGGTTCTATGTGTGATAGCCGCGCAGCGCCTAGGAGCTGCTCTGGGAGCTCGTCGTATGTGTTTGCCTGCAGGTGCAACGCAACAGTCAGAAAACAAGCATTTGGCAGAGAAGTCACTGAACTAGAGCCGGAGAGAAACAAAGATTGTCTACGGGGTTTTATTTACCTGTATAAGAAACGCCATGTCGACTACCAAGGTGGTAACAACACCAAACACCAAGCCCAGGACCCCATTGGCTACCGCTGATGAACCAATATCTACATCCACCTGTAGAATTGTCACGATGTAAGAATGTATTCATCGTAGGTTTGTAGCCCATGCATGAGCAAAAAGAATGCGACGTTCTACTTGTTCAATCTGAATTCAACTGAACTGTGCTCACACATGACCAATAGAATGTATTTCGCTGTTCATCAACTAAAAGAATTCAAATTGGAGCTATGTTACTGATGAAGGGACTTACTTCTAAGTAGTCAGGACCACGCAAATAGCTGCAGTCCACAGCTTTCCCCAGTAAGCAAGGTGTGCTTCCAACACTTTGCCGCACTATCCAAGACCCCTGAAGAATTTGAGCGTGCTAAAGTGAGAACGGCTTACAAAAAACACTTCGAATGACTTCACACTGGAACAGACCTTTGGAACAGATGGGATAAGCTTCAGTCTGCTGTTTCGAAAATCATCATCGCCATCAGCAAAACGCTGCAACAGTGATCCTTTCTCCAAGGAATTTGAGACAAAATAAAGGACCAAGCTGTAATGACTTGGTCCAGGAATCTGCAGGAGAACAGTGACTTAAAGAGCATAACCTAAGTATAGGAGAAAAATCAGCAATAGGAACAAACTTGGAAGAAATCCATAAGTTTATCATTTAATTCTCAAAATTAGTTGAGAAAGTGATAAATAACAATCACGTAAAGAATGTCTGTCATAAATTTTCAATGTATTCGCACCTGCTCTTGTTTGTAATGTTTATGAACTACTCTGTATGATTTATGAATCAATACCAATTAGGCATTTAAAAAACATGCAGATTGTTGTGCAAGGCACCAATTTATTTTTATTTTCTTTTGTGCTCTGTGCGGTCACGTTTCTGTGAGAAAAGATCCAAGCAGGACAGAAAGAAATGAACATGGAGGGATTGTTAGAACAGGAGCTTACTTGTATGTTTACCAGGAAAGTGAACATTCCCTTATCAGCAGCAACCTACATTAGTAAAGGTTCAGTTGAAATCATCATGTAGCAGAAGCACTGTATTAGTTAGGAGCAGGAACACTAATCTAAATCCATATGCAACAATGGTATTTTATTTGAAAGGAAAGTTTTGGTTGAACTAATAGTCCTCCGAGACAATGGTATTCTACTATTCCAAGTTTGCATTCCGGTTACAGAAAAAGTGGACTGAGATAGGAATGTGCCATTAAGCAACCATGAGTCCATGACAGGTTTTCTGACCTGAGCCGCAGATCCTTTCCGCCTAGCAACGTGATCCATACGCTTGGTGTCTTTAAACCAGTCAATCGCTACGAGCTCCATAAGATACTTCCCTGCTGGTACCTGCAAGTCAAATGACAAAATACTAAGCACTTGATTGCCTGCTAGGCTACAAAAAGAAAATAAACCAATTGTGTCACTTGAACGCCTGGACCTTTGATTTGTCATGTGGAAAGGTCTTGCTACGAACTTTAAAGATCTTGCTATCAGGTACTGCCCAACAGTTACGACTTTTCTCATTTGTATCCTGACGAATAATGCCCGAAAACCAAGACAAATCTATTGGGTCTGAAGGACCACCAAATAGAATGGCAAAGGGATCAGGTTAAGACATGACTGGGCAACCTATAAAGTCATCAATCAAACTACAAGAATGGAAATTTGAAAAAAAAAAAAAAAAAAAAAAAAAAAAAAAACTAACCTGAGCTCTTAGCATCACTGTCGGATTTGGTAGGTTCTTCCTGTACATGAATTGCAATGAAACTGTGAAGTGACGAACAACAAAACTTTTGGCAAAGTACAGAAGTAGGGTGAATGTTTTTAGGGCGTGACTGTAAAACAGGTATTCACCTCCAAATCAGCTTCAGGAACTTGATAGTCATCGTCATCTTCCGACTCTTCATCTACCATATCCAAATGTTTGCTATCAGTTTGTTTGGTCTTCGACTCAGGTTCTTGAAGGTTCTGGTCCTTCTTCATTGGGACCGCATTAACCATGGTATGCATCACCGGAATCCTTGGAACTGTACGAATTTCATCTGTTTGCGAAAAATATTCACGCAATCCTGGAAATAAATATAATGTCAAATCCTCATGACCACAAACCATCAGGCAAAGGGACATTGAGACCAAGCTTTGTTTGCACTTTATTATTGATAGATAATCAAGACATCATGTAATTACAGGTTAAATAGTTGTGCGTTCTTTGTACCAGCAACACAGTTCAGCATCTGCAACAAAGAGTGGTACTGGAATGATGGTAAGTAGTTCACGCCCCATCCCCTAACATCAATTTGCATAAGGTGTTGAACTTGAGTGCGCGGTCTCCCGTTGAGGCTTTTGAGAGGGGAAATCTTGAAACCTCCACCTGAACTAGTATGAAGTTAAGGAAAAAGGAAGAAAGGTGGCAAACTATTTTTTTTTTTAAAGGATAGATTCCTGAAAAGGCAGAAGGCAAATTACTTTCGATAGAAGCTCTCACAAATCCTGGTTGAGGGCCACAGTTCTGATGTTCGGTAGATCGAAACAGCACAACTGCAAGTTTACGCACAAAGATCAAAAAGGGCATTCTCAATGGATGAGTAACCAGAAAAGAAATCACTTAAAAATTACCATAGCTTCCATCATCGTTGCGCCGCCAATATCGTACATAACAAAGATCTCGGGGCCAGACCAACCTGCATGTTTACATAAGACGGAAGCATGAAGATCCAAAAATCTGAGATAGTGCAGGCTGCAGTATAATCAGTCCATATAATTTTAAGAACCAAACTTCACGGTGCTGCCATGTAGCAGTAGCAGGTTTACATCCCCGACTAGAAGTACCAAAGTAATCCCTTCCAAGTGCCATCATTCCAGAGGCCAGAGCTACTCTAGAAAGTTGGTTTTGCATGGTACATGTAAACTAATACTTTCGGGAGTAATGCAAGAGTCCTAGGCCAGGATATACACAGACATTGTGCGTGTTCACAAGATATACCAGATATTGTAAATATACTGCTGAATGAATTGTTGCATACTGGCACATTCAGTCGCCCAGGAAATTTAACAATTTTGGACAAAGTACGCGACCCTCATCAAGGACATGTACAACAATGATGTGACTAGTGTTCGAACAAATGATGGTAACACAGATTACTTCCCGATTAAAATAGGACTTCATCAAGGGTCAACCTTGAGCCCGTATCTCTTTGCCTTGGTAATGGATAAGGTTACCAGAAACATAAAGGGGATATCCCTTGGTGTATATTGTTCGCTGATGATGTAGTGTTAGTGGACGAAAGCCAGGCAGGAGTACATAGGTAACTAGAGTTGTGGCGGCAGACCCTTGAGTCTAAAGATTTTAGATTAAGCAGAACTAAAACCGAATACATGAGATGTGACTTTGGCGGAGCTGCACAGGAGGAGGGAGATGTGAGTTTGAAAGGTCAAGTAGTGCCTAAGAAGGATACCTTTTGTTATCTGGGATCAATGCTACAAAGGGATAGAGATATTGATGCGGACGTTAGCCATAGAATCAAAGTAGGGTGGATCAAGTGGCGACAAGCTTCTGGCATTCTGTGTGACAAGAGGGTACGATAAAAGCTAAAAGGCAAGTTTTATAGAACAGCGATTAGACCGGCTATGTTGTGTGGAGCCGAATGTTGGCCTACAAAGATTTGACATGTTCAACAACTAAGTGTTGCAGAAATGCGTATGTTGCGATGGATTTGTGGTCACACAAGAATGGACCGAGTGCGGAACAATGATATATGTGATCGCCTAGGGGTAGCACCAATTGAAGAAAAGCTTGTCCAACATCGATTGACGTGGTTTGGCCATGTCCAAAGGAGACCTTCAGAGGCACCAGTGCATTGTGGAGTCCTAAGCCACGCTAATAATGTGAGGAGAGGTAGAGGAAGACCAAAATTGACATGGGGGGCAATAAAAAGATATTTGAAAGCTTGGGATATACCTAGAGATCTATGTTTGAATAGGAGTGCTTGGAAAGCAGCTATTGACGTGCCTGAACCGTGACTAGGGGCTCTTGGTGGGTTTCAACTCTAGACTACCTCAACTTGCTTGGGACTGACAGGCTATGTTGTTGTTGTTGTTGTTGGATTTGCTGCTCTTGGGTACAGGCAATGCTAATCTAAATGGTATAGAATATATGTCTGGTTCCAAATTCTGAACTCAAATCTGAATATATCAAAACCAGTGCTTATATAGTCCTAGCTTTTAAGCTGCAAGCATCATTCTTTCATTATTATTTCGAGAGAATGTGAAATGTAATCATCATACAAGTTGTTAGAAAGAAGCAACAAGTTATAACTGTTAAGTGATACAGGGAAAATGTAGTTACATTGAACACCAATTCAGTTGTAGACGATGGTACAGTATTGCAGTATGACCATCAACCTCTTCAACTAAACTCCCATATTGGAAGCTACAATCCCATCTACAGAAGAGAATAAAGGATACATAGGTCAGCATCCATCCAAGGATGACAAGGAAATGAAGTGAAACACTTACTCATATCGTGTTACATCCATACTCATTACAAGCCCAAAAATGGCCTCGCATGAGGCTTCCACCACTCCGACAGCCCTCATTGCTCGACTACAGCTTCTTGCCTGCACAAGTGCACATGAATATCAAGGAACAGGTATTGTCAATCTGTCAGAAATAGCAGGAGTTTCATCCACTGCCTAGTAGTATAGAGTGAAGAGGAGGCACATACAAGGTATTCAACCTCCACAAGTTCTTCAAAGATGCGCAATCCTGCCAATGATTAAAAAAAGGGATACTTAGTCCCAGGGTAACACCATTTGACTCGAACTCAAAGTGCATGCCCTCAAAGGAAGTGTCAATAATTGATGTAAAGGAACTGTAAACTTGCCATTCTGGCATCTAAGAAGCCTCCAGTTCTTTCTGGAGTAAGCCTGACTCATGTCAATCTGATTTGACAGCCCAATATCAGCCTCTTTGGTCCAGTCAAGTACAGATTCAGGAGGGCCTAACAAAAGAAAAGCCAACTTAGGTTCCACAGCATCGCCATAGATAAGTATTATATTAAATAAATAAAGTCTAGATGAATAGAACAAGAAATCATATAGAACTGCATACCGTTCCCTATAGTTGTTCTACGAAGCAAGGTGGGCTGGGGCTCTTCTTCATCTTCATCTTCATCTCCAGGTCTGCAGTAGAATAAATCTCCAATTAACATAAAGAAAGGACCAATATGCAACTTTTTTTTTGGTGGGGGTGGGGGTGGGGGGGAGGGGGGAAGCAGATTCAGCTTCACTTGCCTGCTGTCATGATCAGAGAACGAAAATGGTCCTCCAAGATCTATGTCAAAATCCAACGAAGCAAAAGCTTTACGGTGTTTAGCTGTCGTAGTATCCTGTTGCTGCACAACAAAGATCACCAATATTTATCATAATGGAATGTGGCAATTTGCACAATATTTGGTTGTTTGACACAATTTGACATTTTGTTCATCTAAAGTACAGTAACTGACCAACCAGATTCCTGATTATATATACTTAGTGCATTGGAAATTCCTGAAAATTGGCTGTTTAAGACTTTTTCATTAACTTAACTAGCAAATAGCAGAACCTTCTAACTTTGTTTTAAAAGCTTGTAGGTCAAATAGTTATATTCACTTATACGCCATGACCATAAACATGAAAATACTGAAAAAGATTTTATCGTAACATATAATTATGTTAAGAAATGTCATATACAGATACATAAGTTTTTTTTGCAAGCCAGACTTACTGCACCTGATCAATCAGAAGCTCTATCTTCCTCTTCCAGGCTAGGGTATCTTGAATATTGTATCCACCCATCTGGTTGAAGAACAGTGGAAGCATTGGCATATTACTCATATCAATGATAGAAAAATATACATGGCCACAAAAAATAAGTGGCTAATAAGACAAGTCGGCAAACTGCAGAAGGATGAAAAAGTTGCAAGCTACAAAAGGCAAAAGCATTTGTTTTCATCCTGAAGTATAGAGGCGACTAAAACTTTATATCTAGTAGTACCCTCAACTTTCAAAAGTGAAGCAAATGTGGTTCCTAGACAGTTTTGTGGTTAAGGGCAAATTCGGAGTATACACCGTGGCATTCACCTTTGCAGCTTATTTGTAATAGTACAAAATAATTAACAAAAAACTCGACCCCTAGAGGAAAGACTCCCCCGAGGCATTGCATTAAGAAGAATAATCTCTCCCACATGGTTGAGAAAAGGATACGAACCCCAGCTATCCAGGACATGCCACTAACAGTGAGGACACACCTGTGGCCGCATATCACGCTGCAACCATCAGCGGACCACGTATTTCGCTGGAAATAGCCAGCAAGTGGCCTTTTCTTAGTGGGAGAGGGGAGCCGAACTCCCAACATGTAGCTTGCACAGAGGCAAAGCTACCGCTGCACTATACACGCATTCTTACAAAGTAATGAGCGAAGAACAGCTTTCAACAAGTGCAGGTAAAAGAACATCAACAAATCCAAATTTAAAAGGTATTCAATGTAACATATATTCAGATAGTTCTAAAAGTGTTGAAGAGTTCAGCATTATAACAAACCGTGATTTGATTCTCCTTTTCTTTCTTGTTGTAAATGCATATCAAATAAATCATCTGCAAAAGTTAACAGCAGTAATAATGAGAAGGCAAATAAGAAAACTACCTCATAGTTTCGTGTAAATCGGTAAACTGCCCTCCTAAACAAACAAACTATGCTTTTCGAGAGATATTTTGCAAAGGGGATATATAACTTACTTGACCATGATGTGTTTTAAGACCTCTATCCTCCACTCTGCAGTTTCCATCAATAATAATTGACTTGAGTGGAATCTGCAAACCCACAAATTTTCAGTACAAAGTTGAAAACAACTACATCATGCTGTGTCACTGGGTGTACTCAATTTTAACCATAACTGGAATGGATTTGATTCCTTGAAAGTACCCCCAATAAGGTAAAAAAAATCAACATGAATACAGCTAACACACGAGTTAAAAAGCGAACTTCTAAACTGATTAACAAAAAGCATATTCTTTAATCCCAGAGATATGCTTTTTGTTTTTGTTGATGGAAGCAATAGCTTTACAGGTAATCATTACATTGAATGATTGGAAGACTAAAGAAGTCTAAGCAGACGAAACAATTTGCTGGCATGATTAACAAGTGTTCCATTATTTAGCACTTGCCAGACTCTAATGATTAATAAAGCATCTAAATATCGAAATGGTCAACAGTTCCTAGTTCCGACATCGATGGGCCCCTCAACTTCACAGTTCACAATTGGCAAGTTGGAATGATTCCTACACCCAAAAACAATTATGCCCACTGGACGAGAATCGAGACCCGGTTCCATGCATCTCAATCTGGTCAAACCCTCCTCAAGATTCAAAAACCGCGAGAGGGAAATCCTGAGTTTACGAAAGTACGAATTAACAAAGGCTCGTCCAATCAAACTCCCACGTCAATCTGAAATTCTGAACATCAAAGCTAACCGAACTACCGAAGTAACTAGAACTGCATCCAAATTTTGCAACAGAAGCAGAGGGACGCAGATTCCCCCAACAGATGGACCAGAACTCTGACGATCCCGACAGCATATGTAATTCAGCACACGACGAACGATGCAGCACATACCATGTTGTCCCTGGGCTGCTTCTTGTAGTAGGCGAGCACCCTGTTGTCGAGGACGAAGTACCGCGTGTGGAAGAAGGACCTCCCGATCTTCCTCCGGCCGTGGCGCACCATCCACCCCTCGTGCCGCACCGCGGCGGGGGGAGGGCCCGCGGAGCCGCCCTTGGGCAGCTCCCCGCTCCGCGCCATCCACGTCGCGTGCGTCCGAGGGAGCTCCCCGCCGCTCCTCGCGGCGTCCCTCGTCGACGAGCTGAGCATCTTCCGCGCCACTCCGTTCCAACTGCTGCCCAGACGCAAGTCGTCCGGGCGGGCGTCCCAGCTGCAATTCCTCCCACAGGCCTCTCGTCAAGGAGCCGTCCCCGGGGTCGAGTGCGCAGATGATGGGAGCGGAAACCCTAGGCACGTGCGGTCCGCGGATTGCGAGCGGCGGCCGGACCGCCGGAGTCCGGCGAGAGGCGGAGGCGTGGGGAGCGGGGAGAGGACGACAGAGAGGAGCGGAGACCTGGATGAGTAATAATTATTGTGATTTATGAAGTCTCTGAGACATTAATAATTAATTCGATTGTTCTCTTCCTCTTTTGGTGTTTAGACCTTGTATTTGAGTCGATTTTAGTTTTACTCCTGTGCGGTACTCATCAGTCATCACGACCGGAGACTTTTACAGAGTTGTGGGGGTGTATTTGCACTTGGTCAAATGTGACCAATTCTTCCATGTATAAGACTCTCTTCAACAACCGCAACCCAAAATATAAGACCCATTTATGTAAAGGGTTTAATACATATTTTTTTTGTCTTCTCCAACCATCAGACCCAAAAGACAACCATTTATGCAAATAAGTCTTCAGAAGAGATGATACGCATATTTGGGCTATGCCTCTCCTGACACCCAAAATAAGTCTTCCATATAGGTACTATGTTGGAGGCTATAGATATTGTGTTGGAGACCTATTTTGGTTTGGATTCCGCGATGAATCTCCTGTTGGAGATAGCCTAAGGAGCGCATGCGTATCGATGTCCAATTCTCTAGATTTGGATGTCTGATTCATGTCCGACTTTGGTTTGAAAAAATGTTATTTGTATGACCGCAGTAGGAGTTTTTCTTATAGAGGAGTCTAGGAGTTTGATTGGAACTAGAAAATAATATTTATATAGCATAAATGCATAATAAGACATACTACATAGGTGTAAAACCTCAAGATTTCTTAACGATGGTGATGAAAGAACGCTAAGCTTGTTTTGTAATATAATAGAAAAACACTACAAACCCTATTTGATAGGGTTTTTTTTCAAACAACTTCACCTAATAAGTCAGAGAAGTCATATTTATTTAGGTGCCTTTATTCTTCTAGTGTAAAAACAACTTTTCTCACGTAGTCATTTTAGGAGTTAGTGTTTGTCGGTATTTCATTAAAAAGTTAGAGAAGCCAAAACCCAAGAGCAGTTCCGACGTGTAGAGAAACTGAAGAGCAGTTCCATGCAAGTGTACGGTGTTTGGTTCCTATGCATGCATCATGGCAACATTGAACAACTGGTTTGGTTGCTAGACTTTGCTGTCGCGATAGGCTACTTTCCAATTTATGCGTTTCACTTGGCATCACGCGAGCTAGGCGCAGGAGGAACGAGGGATTTTTTCGCACACAACGAGCCTAGAGGATAGCGGCCTGTTCGCTGGTTGGTTTCTGGGGTGATAAGTCTGGCTGGTGATGATTTGTTGTGAGAGAAAAACACTATTGGTTGGTTTATAAGTCCTAGCTGAAACCAACAAGTGAACAGACTGTAGGTTTTGCATCATGCGGGCACGGCTAGAGGACTAAACCACGAACCTAATCATTCGTCTGTGCATCGCCCTGGCCAAGTTGAGCAGGATGCAGTCATCTAACCACGTCCATAGAAAAATCGAACTTTGCAAATTGTAGAAATCAAACTCCGTGTGTCAGAGCTCAAATCCATTATGCATAGTAGTCGAACTGAAGTGAGTAAAAACTAAAACTGTGTAGCCAGCTGACACTTTAGAGCTTCACGTTGAGTAAGTGACGCATAGAGAGAGAGTATAGATTTTTAACTGGCTTTCTCCTCATAAATTGAACCCTACATTCTAGGGGTCTCAAAGCATTCCGACATGAACTAGATTTCATCATGCAAAACTGATGCGTACATTGGAGCTGCTCTAAAGAACTAAGAAGGACCTATATGATCTACTTCATTGATTCCATTGAGTAATAAGGGGTACTGAAATTAACAAGAGACAAAAATTGCCCCTCGTCAATCTTCGCCCTGTTCGTTTGGGCTTGTTTGGCAGATAAGTCATAGCTGAAAGTACTGTTGGCTGATTTAGTGTGAGAGAAAAATATTGTTCGTTGGCTGAAAAAGTACGGCTTATAAACCAAACAAACCCAAACGAACCGTGTAACCAAAAGAAACAATAATGTACTGTACTACATACTACCGTCACCTTTCTCAGGGCCTACAACTCGGAGCCAAATGGCAATTGGCAAGTCGTTTAAGCGCTTTCCTTTTTCATCTTTTTTGCTTTAACCCATTTGTGCGGACAGACTAGGCAGGCAGATGGTTCCATCTCGAGGGCCTAATCCATTGTCTTACGTAATAACCAAATCCATCCGCAAAAGCAAAGCAAAGGCATTATTGTGCAAATCTTCTATCTATAGAGGGCTTAAAAGGGGGCACGTGGTGAATTGCCGTGTTGTAAAGGGGCCGCGCCGCAAGAGTTCGGGGAGGGAGTGGCGGGAAGGCGCGGGCGTCCCCCGCCCCGCAGCACGGAAGCCGTTTGAAAGCTACTACGGCCAAGTGGCCGCCAGCGCGGCCTCCGTCCGCGCCACTCCGCGCAGACACGTGGACGGCCGCGATGGAACCCGTGGGGAGCGGCCTCGCGCGGCACGGACTGAGGCTCTGGTATCTGGAAATGGAACGGAGCAAGAAATTAATTAATTATACCACTAATAATAAAATAATTAGAGCAGGCTAAGTACGTGGTCAAATAGGGCATTAATATGTTTCCTTCACTGTATAAGAACAGTTCCGAAGGAAGTTTCATTCCCATTTAACAAAGCACCGTATCCTCATAAAAAATGGTGTCGTGACACATGAAGGAAGAGGACATGAGTTTCGTCTCGATGAAATCCAGCACATACGGTTACCAAAATGAAACTTCACTTTAATCGGTTTGTTTTATCCCCACGCATTGCAAACAAAGCGAAACTCTATTACGAGCATTTCATTTCATGACACCACGCAATATTTAAATGTGCAGGTATAAGAAACCATGAGATAAAACTATACATCGTGGCATTTGTTGCATTTCGTCATCTGCGAGTTATTTTTAGAAACAACACAATAAAATCTATCATCGAGAATGGTCTACATACTACTCATTGGCCATGTTCGTTTCACTGAAAAAACAAACCGAAATACTATTCCGACTGATTTGTTGTGAGAGAAAAATACAGTTTCGACTGAAAAAACGAGCTGAAAAAGACAGATTATAAAAGAAGCGAACAGGACCATGGTCATCAATCAGCGATTTAATTACTAGCGGATGGATGGATTCGTTCGTGGTTTGGTCGACAGAGAGTAGTACGTGTTGGTTGGAGGTAGGCACGGATGGAGGAACTAGGCGTGCAACGAAGTGGTCATGCATGGGCTTCGATGGACAAGAGAAGCGTATGGGCAAGAGACTGAGGCTCTAGTCGTCGTCAACTTAATTAAGCAATGGTTGGTAACACATGACCTAACCATATTTTAAACACTGTAGTATATTAATTATCGGTGGATGAGTAGTTTAATTAGTGCCCTCTTCGTGACTGTTTGAATTTTGCAGGAATAACGTCACAGGAGATCGTAGTAGATAGGAATCTTGAGCTGATGCATCCGTGCTGCGTGCATACTACACCACACGCATCAATTGTTAGTCTATATAGGTCCCGTCCCAGAAAACGGCACTATTTAGCTTTTTTTTTTAGTCAGAACAATATTTTTCTCTTACAAGAATTCAGCTAAAACAGTGTTTTCAGACAGTTTCAGCCACAATTCAGTAAGCCGAACGGGGCCATAATTGCTTACAGTGAAATCCGTCCATCGAAGTTTAAGTTCTCAACTTCACAAGGTTATTAGTATTTTCCTAAATTTATTTATTTCAAAATTTAATGACGCTATTATTTCAATGGTCAGCTATTTGTTTGTCAGCAGCGAGACCGCCGAGACGCCCTATGGTGACTTTAAGGTCCAACTCACTGTTCAGTTTTTTGAAAATGTTTATAGAGATAGGATGTAGGTGTGTTTATTGAAAGTGAGTGTACACTCATATATATATATATATATATATATATATATATATATATATATATATATATATAGATATATATATATATATATATATGAACATCTATGTGTCACACAAAAAGATTAATTAATTATTTATATATGCGCTGTCCTATTCTATTTTATTCCTTTTTGGAGCCATAAGCTACAACCACGTCATGACGAGTACATTTTTCTTAACCGATACGAAGGACATTATGTGTAAACTCTTTCCTTTTTTGGGATGGACATTTGGACGGACGGGGCGTCCGGACTCCCGCACCTGCAGTCTGTTTCCTGCGCTGTTTCATGGACCCATGCGAGGTCCATGCTGCCTCGAACGTCACTGGCATCGAGGATAGGTGGAGGAGGCGACGGATGCCTAGCCAACGCCATGAGGAGGAGGAGACACCGAGGCGAGGCAGCAGAAAGATTGGGGGAAGATGCAACACCCGATCTACTTTTGAAATATCCAGAGGCAGATAAAACACTTAAAACATATATACGTCTTAAACGCTTGTAAAAACACATGAAAAACATGTGTATAGTCATTGCAAAAATATGCAAGCATCCAGATAAAACACTTGCAACATGCATATGAAAACACTTGAAACACTAGTATATATACGCAACATCCAGATCTACTTTGCAACATCCAAATGAAACACTTGCAACAAACATTTGAAACAAACTTGAAACATAAGTGTATAGCCTTACTACAGGTGCAACATCCCAATCTAATTTTGCAACATCGATATAAAACACTTGCAACATATCTCTGAAACATTTGAAACATACGTTTACAATATGCACTTTTAGCACAATGTCATCTTGCTGCTAGGACGAACGGAGGCTCGTCGGCTCGCAGAGCTCGATGCCAGCGCGGAGTGGGGGGTGCAGCGGGTGGGACGGTGTAATGCCCGCGGCGAGTGAGCCTGTTCGCTGGTTGGTTTCTGGACTGATAAGCTTGGCTGATGTTGGTTCGTCGTAAGAGAAAAAACACTATTGGCCTAGTTAGTAAATTCTCACCGAAACGAGTAACCCCACGCTGAAGAAGGCAGCGGCGGGCGAATGCTATGCCCGCGACGCGGCTGGAGAAAGACCGCAGAGGAAGGGAATCAGGCGTCGTGGACCAGGAAGCGCGGCGTCTAGAGGGTGAGGAGAGCATTACCGTGTTTTTTCCGATTCGAATCCAATGAGGGGAAAAAAGAGACGCCAATTCCCACCACACGTATCTCAAGCCCTGCCGTTAGGCTTTTACCGGCCGGCCGCCTTCAAATGAAACCAAGCGCGGCCCATGCAGGCCCGCAGCGTCGCGGGCAGCACGAATCTCCAGGCAACACGTGAACGGCCACGATCACCTCCGCGCGGCCATAGGACGGACCCCTCCAAGTCCCAGCCCAAACAAATCAAGTCCTTGTCGAGCCAAGCCGTGAGCGCACGCAGCGCCAGCCGCGGCCAGGCCCCGCGCGCATAGGCCGCTCTCCATCCTCGCGCAATCCGTCTCCATATTCCGCGGCGGCGGAGGACGGCTCAAGCCGCCCCTCGCGTCGCTCCTCGTCGCCAGGCACCGCCCCCCGCCGGCGGTCCCAGCCGGCGCTGCTTCGTCGTCGTCAGCGGCGGCGGATGGCGAGGAAGATGGTGGCGCTTCCATCACCAGCCGCCGATTCTTCCAGAAGGTCAGTGCTAGCGCTTCGTTTCGTCGTGCCCTGTAATTGTTCTTGCATGCACGCCCTGCATCTGCATCCATGCGCGCTCTTCAATTCCGTCGTAAGAAACAATCCATTGTGTTCGTGTTATCCGTGCCAATCATGAAGACAAGCAGGAACATTGAGTGAGAGCAGAGCAGCTGTATTGCCCTCTGCAGCGATCTGAGACAGAAAGAATACCAAAAAAGAAATTAACGAAGAACAAACACATCAGAATAATACTCTTAAGAGTAGTATAATGTAGCAGAAGCTCTGCCATCTATGCGTTAAGTAAAATACAGTAGATAATAAAAGCGCTGAATACAAAGTAAAAATCCTGATGCTCCATCTGGAACGTCGACGAAGGGAGTAGCAAAAAAAAACATGATGCTGAAACGTCGATGACCGGTCGACGGCAAATAATCCTCAAGTATTTCCTTCAAATTTTATGCCATAAGTCATTTTTTTCTATGCATTTTTTCTGTGCTATTATAATGTATACATACGTACATGTGATGCTCACACGTTTGCCTTGCTGTGCATTCTAACAGGTGACTTGTGCTGCAGCTGCGACTCTGCTCTCGGTGATCGTCCTGGGCGCCGCCGGCGCTGGCACGACGACGCTGTTCAGGTCGGAGCTGCTGGGCAGCGCGTGGACGGGGTTCCTGGCGGGGTGCCTGCACACGCTGTCGGGGCCGGACCACCTGGCCGCGCTGGCGCCGCTGTCCATCGGGCGGTCCAGGGTGGAGAGCGCGGCGGTGGGAGCGCTCTGGGGTTGCGGCCACGACGCCGGCCAGGTCCTCTTCGGCCTGCTCTTCCTCGGCCTCAGGGACCGCCTCCACATCGAGGTCATCCGCACCTGGAGCACCCGCGTCGTCGCGCTCACGCTGCTCGTCATCGGCGCGCTCGGCATCCGCGAGGCCAGTGAGGTGCCCACGCGGCCATGGCCACGACCACCACCAGCACCCGGCTACAACAGAAACGCTGCCGGCGGGCGGCAAGACGAAGATCAACTTCGCCACGTTCGCCACCGGGATCGTCCACGGCCTCCAGCCGGACGCGCTCATGATGATCCTGCCGGCGCTCGCGCTCCCGTCGCGCGTCGCCGGCGCCGCGTTCCTCGGCATGTTCCTCGTCGGGACCGTCGTCTCCATGGGGAGCTACACCGTCTTCATCGGTTCGTGTACGGAGGCGCTCAAGGACAGGATTCCCCGGATCACCGAGAAACTCACGTGGGCCGCGTTGCTGCTGGCCATATCCATGGGGCTTGCCATCCTCGTCAGCCAGTCCTTCGGAATCACCCTGTACTGACATCCATTCGCTACTTGCAACAGCGCGAGCCGCCGTCTTTCTTGCTCTGGTTTTCTGTTGCTGTTAAGTAGGAACGAACTTGGTGTGAGAATTTTTCCTGTCATATTTAGGATTGATTGCCGGATGAATGAACTGTATAAGAGATGATCTTCGGCTGAGTGAGTGAACTAAATTAGGTTGTCTTCAGATGAGTGAGATGCATATATAAGATGATCGTGTCAGACGTGTGACAAATGCTGTTGTTGTGTTCCAAATGTATTGGTTTTCACTTTTCAGGGATCGGTGCAAGCTTCAATCCAGACCGATGTGCTTTCTTCTGGTTGTGCAATGTTCACACATACAGAACTCACTGTACACTGCTAAAAAATATATATAGGTTGCATCAGTCCCTTCCTCGTTCATACAAAAATGGCAATTCAACAGAGGATGAGAGACCGGGAAAGTCGACAATTTGCCAATATTATGAACAGAAACAAGCCCAAAAGTAGAACCAAGATTCTGCAGAATTCTTGTGGGATGCAACAGAAGCTTTCGCTTTCTCTCATCTAGGACTACTAGGAAGAAGCTTCGGTCTTCATGAATGAAATTAAAAAAAAAAACAAAGAAGCATTGCACCTTGATAGCCCATTAGACAGCTAACCCATCTCACACACTTACTCCTTGACAGCCCATCTAGGCCCATTCAACATAGCCCAAAGGCCCGGCCCGGTTCGTATCGTCCTTGCTTCCTTGGTGGTGGAGGGAAAGGGAATGACCCTCGACTCGTCTCCCACCGTGTCGTCCCCCCACGGCGTCGCTCAATCCGTGGCCCACCTCAATGCCTTCGCCGCCGTCGAGGTCTCACGCGCTCGGCCACTCGCGCCCGCGGCATGGCCACGCGGAACCGGACGCCGCTCTACCGCAAGTACCGCGACGCGCTGCGGCACGTCCGCGCGCCGGCGCCGTCCGGCGGGGGAGGGGGAGGGCCGGTGATCGAGATGGCCTCGCTGCTGCGCTCCGACCGCCCCTACGCTCCCCTCATCACTGACGACCCCTCCGCCTCCAGGTGCCACCACCCCATCCGACTCCAACACCCCTCTTGCATCTCGTCTGGTCTGTGCCCCGTGTGGGTACGTGGGAATCAGTAGAGGTAGCTAGCTGCGACGCGGGGTTGCGAGACGGGAGTTTCTTAACTAGACCGAGTGGCATTTGACCATGCTAACAAATAGAGTGGGCTAATTGACCTGTGATTCAAATGAATTGGTTGGAATTGCAGATCACTAGACTCGCCCATTAGTTTGTCTGGTCTAAGCCTTTGCGGATTAGCTCATTACTACGAGGCAGCGACCTGTGTAGCATACAGGCGATTTCCCTTGCTAGGGAATGGGAATTTCCACTGTAGATCGAGCGATGAAAGACTTATTATAAAATGTTGATCAGTGATCAGTGGCTTAGGCAGTAAGCAGTAATGGTGGGTTCCGAAGGTTAACTACTTTCATTGCTGTGTCACTGGTTGGACGCCTCACTGCTGATAAGATGAATTATGCAGCACTGACATTTGGTTTCTGTGTTCCAGTAGAGGTGCTGTGACAGTCGGGCTACCCCCAGCCTGGGTGGATGTTTCTGAAGAGATATCTGCAAACATGCAGCGGGCAAGGACGAAAATGGTGGAGTTGGCTAAGGCACATACCAAAGCCTTGATGCCATCCTTTGGCGATGGCAGGGACGATCAGCGAGCAATCGAGGTTCTCACATGAGATAACGGACTTGCTGAAGTGGTCCGAGAAGAGGCTGCAGAAGCTGTCCATGAAAGATTCATCAGAGGATTCAAATGTCCAAAAGAATGTCCAGGTGATGATAGAACCTTATTTATCATTGGCAGTTACAAGTTAAAGAGTGACAGTTTGTTCTCTCTCTCTCTTTTTTTCTTCCCGTTTGACGGACATGGCTGTTATGTGCAGCGTTCTCTTGCTACGGACCTGCAAAACCTGTCAATGGAGTTCCGAAAAAAACAGTAATTAGGTGCTGATAGAATGCTTGTCCAACCTTGACTCGTATGCTTTGTTGATGAATACCCCTGTAGGGTCAGGACGGTGTTGATTTGGAAGTGAATATAAATGGGACGAAGTCTACATTTGAAGACGATGAGTTTGAGGATGTGGTATGTTTTATTTTGGTCTTTACATGTTGTATACCTGATTGTGGCAATTCTTTTTATCTCTGCATATTTCATATTAGCACGAGGAGTGCCTATACTAACTTATATCAAATTTGGTGCACTATGAGTCATTCTTTATTAGATATGAGATGTTAGCTGCCTATTAGATATTAACAAGAGGAGTGCTAGCTGCGTTGTTGTTTGGGTGTGTGTGTGTGTGTTGGGGGGGTGGATGCAGGACATGCTTCCCTCTATGTGCATAAACAGAAATCGAAAAATGACAGGTAAAAGACGAAATAATAACAACAAAGTTCTGCCTGTGTTTGTGTTTATTTGGGTTAGTTATACAGTTCATAAGTGAGTCTGTTGAAATCGGGTTGTCAATATGGGTAACTCAGTTCTCTCCCTCCATGCTGTGGCTGTGGCTGGATGCTGATTTTAAATTTGTTGGTGGAGATGGATAATTATGTATTATGCCTCCCTCAAACCTTATATTAGCACGGTTGATGTCCACATCTGTGTATGGAGAACACTTCCCAGCCTACAACACACACACCTTTTTTTTTCTTCTTTTTGACTGTAAATGCACATGCTTTGGATAGCATAAAATAGATCATGAACGGGGAATAAGATTAGATATGGCAAGCACCAGGGTAGTACCTGGTCCTTACCCATGCATATCCTAGAATATCCCCTGTCCTTCTACCTAGGAACTTTGAACTGATTGAACAGGGCATGGTCCACTCCATTTCATTATAGGCTGTGGTATCGTTATTTGAGGTCCATTGCAAGAGATGGGCACTTGACTAGTAATATATACTGTATATGATATATGTGAGTAAAATCCAAGAAGATTCTGTCACTTCCTTGTAGCAAACTACATTTGTCCAATTAAACATAACAGCACAACCCTGCATTCACCATCCAGAATATAGTCCTGCAATGAAGGACTAAGTGACTAACGGTGTTAGATGGTTGGTTAATGTAACCAAAACTGATTCAAAGTTGCTTTAGTTAATTCTTTGGCACAATGTATCTTTTATTGCATCAGTTTTCCATTTCTTTCTTTTTTGGAATTTTTGTTTATCCATGCATGATACATTTGGTTGGGTTTGAATTTATTGTGTTATAAGAATATATACTTGTTGAGATCCAGACCAACAGATGATGAGAAGTGCAGCTAGTTCTTTATAGTTTATATAAGTTGTTGATGTAATTCATAACTGTATTTTGTTATAGCAGGGTTTCACTAGGGTTCAGATGTCAAAACTTAAGAAAAGCCAAGCATTCACTAGAGAAAGGGAGAGAGAAATTGAGCAGGTGAGTTTTTCTTTTTATTTGATGGTTGTGTCAATCACTATATGTATTCTCTTTTTGACAGCACATGTTCCTGATTCCTGAAGTCTGTTTATTATTGCTGTCTGCTTGTGGCTTGAAGGTTATTGAATCAGTCAACGAACTTGCACTTTTTTTTTTGGAATAATCAGCAGGAGCACTGCTATATCATGTATGAGAGGTGCAAGAATCCAGTTTACAGCTTAAAGGTTATTACATAGCTAAACCACTCAAACTCAAAAGGCAGGTAGCATAAAAGAAAGGACTCATGGCGGTAACTGTATTTTTCCCAGTGCTCTACTGAAGAGGCCCAGCTCATCCTTGATCAGCCGCAGCACTTGAGCCGGCGTCTGCGTTGTCCCCTCGAAGGTTCTCCGGTTTCGCTCTTTCCAAATGTTCCAGGCTGAGTACATCAAGATGGCTGCTGTTGTTCTTTGTTGAGTTATTGATCTTCCCTGTAGTGACTTCTCCCTCCAGATTTTCATAGTCTGCACTGCACGTCCTCGTCAATGTCAGTAATATGGTCTCCAACCCAATTTTTGACAAGCATCCACACTTCTTTTGCAAAAAGGGAAATGAATGCAAAGATGGACAGCTGTTTCTACATCCTGATCACAAAGCGGGCAGATTGGGTTGCAAGGCCAATGCCTCATCGCTAGCTTATCAGCCATAAGAACCTTTGCCTGTACTAGCAGCCACGTAAAAAAATTGAGTTTGCCTTCAGCATGAGCCTTCCAAATTGAATTCGCCATTATATCCGAGTAAGACCCCATGAACTGAGCCAAGTACGCTGATTTTGCAGAGTAGTTGCCATCCGCTGTCCATTTCCAACGGATTTGATCGTCTTGGTCGTTGAGTTGTTGGGCTTGTACCAGGTCCCATAACTTGACAAACTCAGCCATTTCCTGGACGGTCTCCATCCTCCATAGTCCCCTTGTCCAACTTTGATTTATTAGACCATCCTGTACCGTTTGATTTTTCCTCCAGGCCCACTTGAATAGACTAGGCGCAAGATAGATGGGAGCTTGGCCATCCCACGACGAATGCCAGAAGAGAGCTTTATCTCCCCTTCCCACCGTGACCACCGTTGATGCTAGAAAAAATGCCCTGTCCACTGAATCGCATGGTGCAGCAGTCCCCGCTGATGGTCTGTCTGGGCTTGCCCAATCCTGCTAAAGCCATCTCATCCGCAGTGCTCTACTAAGAGGATGTTTGGTTGGAGCTACTAAACTTTAGTAGCTACTAAACGGTTTAGTCACTTTTAGTAACTCCAGAGTTACTAGAGAGGACTAAAGCTCTTTTAGTAGCTTTTAGTCATCGCGTTTGGTTGAAAAGTTACTAAAGTGACTAAAAGCTACTAAATTTAGTAGCTACTAGATGAACCAAACGTGCCCTAAAATCAAGAATTCCGAGGCCACCAAGAATTTTTGGTCTTGTCGCTTTTGGCCAGCGAACCAGACAATGGCCCCCATTTGCTGAAGCTGCTCCCTTCCACAGAAACGATCTTCTAATGCTATCAATCTTCCTTATTGCCCACTTTTTTAGAGCAAAAACTGTTAAGAAGTGAACTGGCATAGACGTTAGCATGGAATTAACCAAAGTCAAGCGACCAAAATGGTCCAGGAACTTGGCTTTCCAGGCAGGAAGCTTGGCGGCTATCCTGTCAATTAGCGGCTGCACATCCACTTTCCTCCACGCTCTGGTGTGTAGCGGCAAGCCCAAATATTTGCAAGGGAAGGCTTTAACTTCACAAGGGATGACATCTAGCAGTCCTTCCAGTTGCAAAGAAGAACAAGCCACGGGGTAAATTGCACATTTGGAGAAGTTTGTGACCAAACCCGAAGCCTGCGCAAAAGCCGCTAAGATCCGCATTGCCCCTTGTATCTCTTCTCTATTGGGATTAGATCATGAAGGATCTTTCAGTTCTCGTGATTGATCAGGTACATGAAACCGGACCAGGCTCTTGATTTCTTACTTCAAACAGGGAACCATCATCGATCGGATAGACTACAACATACAGAACGTTGCAGCTTCAGTTGAGGAGGGTTACAAACAACTGCAAAAGGTTTCATCCTTGAATCATATTTACCCTCACTAGTAGTAATGTTTCTGCTGTATACAATTCTGTAGAATGGATTTAAGTGTGTAGACATTCGGTCCTTTGTTATATGCCTTCAGGGTACCCATAAATTTGTCATTGGTGGAAATCATGCGATTCAGATATTTCACCTTTTTAGGTGGTGTTTGGATTCAGTGACTAAAATTTAGGAGGTGTGTCGGAAGGATGTTGCATGGGGTATTCGGATATTAATAAAAAAAACAAATTACATAATCCGTCGGTACTCCACGAGACGATTTTTTTAAGCCTAATTAATCTGTCATTACCATATGTTTACTGTAGCACCGCGTTATCAAATCATGGACTAATTAGGCTTAAAAGATTCGTCTAGCAAATTAGTCACAAACTATGTAATTAGTTTCGTAATTAGTCTATATTTAATACTCCATGTATATGTCAAATATTCGATGGGACAACAATTAAAATTTAGGAGGAGCAACTAAACACCTCCTTAGCTTGTATATTATCATCTCTAAATATCCTTATTGTCATTAAAACATACTACCACCCTGCGTTTATTTCCCTGTTTGTTGTAAAAGATGACTTTCCACGACTGGGGCAGTAAATTTTTAACCAACCCTTCAGTTTACTGCTTACCGCAGGCACTGTCTTGTGCCTTTATGATCTCTCTCTACTTTATGCATTATGGCCTTGTTTAGATTGTAATTTTTTACAATTGGACACTGTAGCACGTTTCGTTTGTATTTGACAAACTTTGACCGATCATGGACTAACTAGACTCAAAAGATCCGTCTCGTGATTTACAACTAAACTGTGTAATTAGTTATTTTTTTTTACATATATTTAATACTCTATGCATACGTCCAAAAATTGATGTGATGGAGAGAGAGTGAAAAAACTTAGAATTTAGAGGTGATCTAAACAAGGCCTATGTAGTACCCAATAGTGTTTCTTGAAATAAAGAAAAATTGATGGCTGCATCAGTACCTGAACCTTGCAGTCTAATATCTTGGTCCGTCTGTTTTTTTTGCCTATTCGGGTGATTGTTCACGTGGCTTATAAATTGGTTGATTTTGTTTTGTTGTTGTGAGAAAAAAATATTGTATTATAATTGATAAGCAGAAGCGAACCGAGAAAGGGGTCGTGGTGATGTGTGCCACCGTCCTTGTCATTCTGATCTTCATCATGATAGTCCTCCTGATTTTGAAGATCATTTTCTGACATACATACCTATCTCATTGATGAATGGCCGCCAAGCACACACCACGCTTATCTACTCATATGTGAGTGAGGATTGCACCGTGCCTGCATGAGTTCGTTTGAATAGGGCGCCATACGACTCACTGATCTGAGGATGGTTCTCCTGCCCATATTCATAATGGCTGGACCAGCAACTGCATTCAGTCTAGGTCGCATGGTGCAAGCGGTAAAGTCTTATCGTCTGTGATCGGAAGATTCCGAGGTTGAGTTGTGGTTTTCTCGTATTGCACAGGCGAGGGTAAGGTTTGCCACTGACATCTTTTTCTAGACCCCGCACAGAGCGAGAGCTCTCTGCACTGGGTACGTAGCGCTGCAGATTTAGAGATGTCTTATTCATAGATGCCTCTTTTTTAAAAAAAAAAACACATTTCACCTTCCTGTTTGCCATGGAGCAACCAGGATAGGCTGGCTGTGTATGCCTCTGTATAGAGTGAGCTGTATCATCCGGTTACCAGAAACCGGAAAGTAGATTCAGTTCATGTGTCATCTCCTTTCTGTTCTACGGTCCTGTACGTTTGTTTTATAATCTGTATTTTTTAGTTTATTTTTTAGTTGAAATAATGTTTTTTTCTCACAACAAATCAATCGGAACAGTGTTTCGGCTTGTTTTTTCAGCGAAGCGAACGGAGCCTATGTTGCCTGCCTTTGTACTTTGAGCTAGTTGAGGTGGCATTTGATCGTACCAGACATTCCTAACAATTATTTCGACAACTTTTCGCTCTTGTGTAGTTGGAGGTGCAATTGGGATCTTGTGTTGGTGTGTAGGGGGCAACCAGCAGCGTCCTGGTGCTGCAAGTCAGGCCATCATAACACAAGTTTATCTGCTGATGCTCTGATTATTATTGCTGCAATCAGCCCGTGCTGCTGGGTGAGCCACAAGGGTTTGTTTGGAGCTGGAGGTCAATCAGTTGGGTTTGGGTCGTCCCTCTGGCCTCTCTCCCATGGCCAACTGGCCGGCCATCAGCTGGTCCCGACCCGAGCCATGGGCGCTGTGTTCGGCTGGCTGGCTGGCTGGTTGCCGGCTGGCCAGCCACCTCACAAAATTATTATTCACGTCCTGTCAGAATAGTATTTTTCTCTCACAATAATCAGCCGAAACAGTATTTTTCAGTCCTACCGAACAGGCCCATGCAGGGATGGTGTACGTGCTGGTGATGGTGACGTTTCTCTTTCTAAAGTTTACTTTATCCCATCGAATTTTTAGACATATGTATAGAGTATTAAATATAGATTAAAAAAATAACTAATTGCACAGTTTGTGACTAATTTACGAGACGAATCTTTTAAGCCTAATTAGTTCATGATTTGACAATGTAGTGGTACAGTAACACATGTGCTAATGACGGATTAATTAGGCTTAATAAATTCGTCTCGTGGATTACCGATGGATTCTGTAATTCGTTTTTTTATTAGGGCCATGTTTAGTTCCCCCAATTTCCTGAATTCGGCACTATGCAAAAAGAAGATTCCCCGTCACATCAAACTTGCGGTACATGCATGAAGTACTAAATATAGACGAAATCAAAAACTAATTGCACATTTTGATTGTACTTTGCGAGACGAACATTTTGAGCCTAATTAGTCAATGTTTGGACAATTATTACCAAATATAAACGAAATGCTACGGTGCGGTACAGTGCAGCTGGAAATCCGGCGGCGCCAACTTTGGCCGGAACTAAACGCGCCCTAGTATCTGAACATCCCCATGTGACACCTGATACGACACTCAAAAACTTTACACCCTAGATTTAAATAAGACCTAAGATCCCTGAGCTAGCCCCACACCCACATCGTAAGCGGTACTCCCTCCGTTCCATAAAAAGAGTTCTTTTAGGATTTAAATTTTATCATATAAAAAATGTTCGCTTACCTATGTTACCAGACCTACATGTAGGCACGGTACCAATAGCTGTGCATGTTCAGTCATCCAACGTCACAGCTTTATTCCTTCCCTCCTCTTGTACACTCGGACATTTAATGTAGTTTTTCCAGTGTTGCTTGTACTACTAGTAGAGTAGCCTGTTCATTTATTAGTTTCAGACTAGACTAGCCAATCAACATTATTTTTTCTTTACAGTAAACTATCACCGGCCAGCCTACGGAGGTACGTAGGTATTTCACCACTCTCCTTGTTAGAGGAGCTTTAATTTCAATCCAGCCTTGTCTTGTCCTTTTGCCCCCATTTATAGTGCCCCTGCTGATGCTGCAACTTGGACAGCACCTATCCATGTTTCCAGTTTTCTATCTCAGCATGGCTGCTTTTGGCCTTGTTTAGATATCCTCAAAATTCCAAGTTTTTTCACTCTTTTTTCATTACATCAATTTTTAGCTATTTGTATGGAGCATTAAATGTAGATAAAAAAATAACTAATTACACAGTTTAGTTGAAAATCACGAGATGAATCTTTTGAGCTTAGTTGGTCCACGATTGGACAATATTTACCAAATAAGACGAAAGTGCTACTATTCATCGGATTGAAATTTTTTTCAATCTAAACAGGGCCTTTATCTCGTCCTCTCCTCTCCTGCCTAGGGGAGTGTTCGGCTGGCGATAAAGCTGTGGGCGCTGATTTATATGACTAATTTTTTTAGAAAGAAAAATATTGTACACGACTTATAAGCCAGCGAATAAGTTGGCCGATAAGTAGGTTTTCCATTGCCCTGCCCTGCCTTACTGGTTAGCAGAGAGAGATGGTCAGATAGCTACTCCACCGGTCAGAACAAAACAATGTTAATCTTGTTTTTTTAATGAGTTGATCAATATAACCCAATATAATAGAAAATGCTACTCCCTCAGTTCCAGGTCATAAGATGTTTTGGCCTTTTTTTTAAAATACATAGCTATTGTCGTGTATAATAAATTCACTAGATTAATAAAGACATATAGAGATATATTTAATATTATTTTTTATAAGTCTCCTCAAGCTTAAGATCGGTTGATTTCTCTAGAAGCTGCGCAGAGACAGCACACGCAGTTGTTCTGCATCGGTTGGATTTGGGTCCCTTTTGGATCCTTTCAGTTGACTACTAGCTGCATGTGTTACTGGCTCCTAACTCTTAGTTCGGGTTAGTGGCTAATTGTTAGCTCCAGCCTGTCGTGAATTATAACGGGCCCTGTACCTGTTGCAACAGTACTGAGAGCCGTGGCACGACAGTGCTGGCAACGGCAGCAGCGCCGACGGCCGCTACCGGTACGTATACAGCGTTCTTCCGGACCGAGCCTGTTCGTTTCGTCCGAACGATCGTGGATTATAACGATCGTGAATTATAAGCCAGAAATATTATTACTGGTTTGGTACGAGAGTAAGATCGTATAAACCGAACCAACATGTTATAATCCTCTGCGTCGTCTCACGTCCGTCGCTCTCCTCCAGCCCTCACGCGCTCAAGCTCTCATCCTCCGAGAGTCCTCCGGGGCAGGCAGGCTCCTGTTGAGACTGATCGCCAAACAGGGCGGTAAAACACTCGCAGCCTGCTGCCTTTTCTCAGTTTTCACGGTGGCCCAAAGATTTACTGGGGGCAGTGAAAATCCTGCCTGCTTTAGCTGTAAGGACCAGCGGTCCACATCCAAACGCGTACAGTACGTACGGCCTGCAAGTAAAAGCCTCGGAGAGGCGTTCAGACACTGTTTGAGAGGCCGTATCGTATTGTGAATTATTTATTGTTGGTTGGTTTGGTGTGAGAAAAAAACACTATTCTTTACTAGAAATTTACGATCGTTTACGAACGAGCGAACAGGCTGATTGAAACTGTGGCTGAGGCTGCGCACGATGCAGTACGTACATTGGCGTTCACTGTGCGTACAAAACTGTTGGTGTACACTTATCGCAAAAAAAAAAACTGTCGGTGTACACTATACACTGACACTGTGCAGTTCAAGTGTGCGTCGCTGAATAACAATAACGGTTTGCTCGTGCGGTGTGCACGCGCGTGCGCTCGTGTCTGATCTGCACGGGTGCATGGACCTAGCTTGACTAGAACAAGGCGGAAATTACTTACCTATTATTTTCTACCAGGGCCTTGTTTAGATTGAGAAAAATTTCAACTCGATAAATAGTACCACTTTCATTTATTTGGCAAACTTTGTCCAATCGTGGACCAATTAGACTCAAAAGATTCATCTCATGATTTCCAACTAAACTGTGTAATTAGTTATTTTTTTACCTACATTTAATGCTCCATGCAAACGTCCAAAAATTCATGTGATGGAGAGAGAGTGAAAAAACTTAAAACTTTGAAGGGAACTAAACAAGGCCCAGATGCCTAGGCTGTATTTTCTAGCATGCATCACTGTTTCGATCGATGCCGGTAGTTGTAGTCGCGGAGACTGGGAAGTGAGCGAGAGCCTGGCGACGATGGTCGTTATTCGGTGTTCACACTTAGCCCCGTGTGCTAGAGCTCCAGCTCCTCATAAGAGGCCCTCCAGCTCTGGCTTCTCACGTGGAGTAATTTTTCTCGTCGAGCTGAAGTTGTTTTTAAAAAACGTTCGGCAAAAACGACTTCACTTGTAGTTTCATAGTAAATTGCATTAGGTTTGTGAGAAGCTATTTTTTTCCGATTTCAACTCCTTTATACAAAAATGACTTTGGCTCCTTGCAAGGAGCCGTTTTTTAGATGCCTGTTTGGCATAGCTCTTTGCGAGGAGCTAGAGTCCTGCTAAACTGTAATCCACGTCTGGTCATGCGCTCGTGCGACTCCACGCCGCCCCCGCTAGCGGCCCATCATCGCACCTCCACTAGAGTTATGGTTTACTTCCTCCCTTCGTCCACTAGAGTTAGGGTTTACTTCCTCCCTTGGCCCATCGTCATGAGAATAGTAGCCTACCACTCGATACGCGGTGCAACGAGGTCACGGTGGGACGGTAATGGCACGACTGGCCGCACGATAAGCTTCTTCCATGGTTCTATCATAGCCTACCACAGCTACGCCCTTTCAATCTTCCATTCTATGGCCCCATTTGCTGGTCTGAACTTTGGCTGAAACTGGCTGAAAAACACTGTTCCGGCTGAATGTTTGTGAGAGAAAAACACTGTTCGGCTGAAAAAATAAGCCGAACAAGCCAAATTTAAGACAAGCGAACGAGACCTATAAACCAACGTAAACATCACCCTTAAACCCTGTTTGGATATTGGAGAAATACTGCTGTTCCTGAAAATACTTTGGTTTTCAAAAGCTGTTAGGTGTTTCAATAGAATAAACTTTGTAGTTTCTAAAACTATGTTCTTGTTAAACTGCAGTCTTTTTAAAATTTTAAAAACTCCACTTTATGATCTATTTTTGATAAACCATGGTTTTTATGTCTCTTTGGCTTACAAAACTATGGTTTACTACGGTTTTGTGATACTATAGTCAGTGTTCGCCTAAACGAGTTAAACGGCCACTAAACGGTAAACGGTGATAAGCTATTTTGTTTAGGGGTAAACGGAAATTAAACGGTTGACCGTTTAAACGATCAAAAAACGGGAAAACGGTCTAAACGGCCTAAACGGAACGGAGATAAACAGTATTAAATGGGCTAAACAGCTGTTTAAACGGCTGTTTAGGCGAACACGAGGTAAATCTAGTTCAATTTTATATGGATAAATTTGTATACTTAAGTTTATTATATTTATAAATGTGTGCACTTGATATGTTACATGCATAAATATCTATATTTGGTTCTTTTCACATGCATAAATATATATACATACCAAAATAATTGATTTTTATTCGGATAAATATGTATAAATGCTATAGTACTTAATTTTTTACATGCACATATATAATTATATGTATTTTTTTAAGTACAAAACCGTTTAGACCATTTAACTTTATTTAAACACCGTGTAAACAGCCTAAACGCTAAACGAAGGGCGACCGTGTAAAGACCGTTTATCGTTTAGAAAAACATTGACTATAGTACGTTTTGTTTGTATTTGACACTGTAGCACGTTTCGTTTGTATTTGACAAACTTTGTCCGATCATGGACTAATTAGGTTCAAAAGATCTATCTCGTGATTTACAACAAAACTGTGTAATTAATTATTTTTGTTACCTATATTTAATGCTCCATGCATGTGTTTAAAAATTAATGTGATGAAGAGAGAAAAAAAAAAACTTAGAATTTAAAGATGATCTAAACAAGGCCTAGAAAGAAAAGGTGAACAAAAAGGAGGAAAGGAAATCCCCAGGCTGCCCTTGGAAGGGCAGCAGGGGGGCAGCCCAGCCACCGGTCCCCGGGCCAGACAAAATGACAGACAGCAGAGCAGCAGCGTGTGACGCTGAGACGAAGACAGGCAGACAGCCGAGCGCCGAGGCGAGGCGAGCATCCAAATCCAAAGCAAGCGGCGGGCGGCAGTGGAGAGCAAGCGATTCGCTTCCTATTTGCAGATCCCCACCGACTCCCTCCTTCCTCCCCTCCATTAATGGCCGCCACCAAGAACCCTCCAACCCCCACCTGACCTTCCCTCCCTTCCCTTCCCTTCCGCCCGTCCGTTCCCCGCCCCTCCGCCTGTACGTTCTCAGCCGGCAGGTCCAAAGGGAGGAGGAGGAGGAGGAGGAGCGCGGCAGTGGGGTGGGGGCCCACAGATGCTGAGCTCGGCGTCCTCGGCGGGGGCGGCCATGGGGATGGGCGGCGGGTACCCGCACCACCCCCCGCCGCTGCCGCAGCGCGGGGCAGCGGCCGCGGTCTTCACCGCCGCGCAGTGGGCGGAGCTGGAGCAGCAGGCGCTCATCTACAAGTACCTCATGGCCGGCGTCCCCGTCCCGCCCGATCTCCTCCTCCCCGTCCGCCCCGGCCCCCACTCCGCCGCCGCCGCCGCCGCCGCCGCCGCCTTCTCCTTCGCCAGCCCCGCCGCGTCGCCCTTTTACCACCACCACCACCACCACCACCACCCGTCCCGTGAGCTCCCCCCTCCCCTCCTCCCCTGTCGCTGTCTCCTTCATTCGTTCGTGTGTATACATACATCTCAGCAATCTCTGTTCAAATGGATGCGTGCTTGCTTGTTTGCTTGCTGGTATTATCGTATCATAGGGGAAGGAAACTAATGGATGCCTTTTTCAGGAGAGAAGAACACATAGCATAGATCTTTTGCCTGCCCTGCTGCTTACTGGGATTCGATTGGATTGGTTGGTTGGTTGGTAGGGTATTGCCGCGATTTATCTCATCGAATGATTCATTAAGCATGCGGCGCCTAGCATCTGGCATCTGTGCCTATGTGGGATGGGGTGGATCTTTGTCACCTCCTTTCCTGCTTGCTCACGCAATGGGGTGGGGATTCTTTATTATTCAAACTTTTAAACAAAGTAGGAGAAAGCATCTTTGCATTGGGTTGGTCAAATGTTTATGCGCTTTTGTTCTACCCCAGTAGCAAGTACATCATTTCATTAGAATACACACACACACACACTAGCTAGCTAGGGCTGTGTGAGCGGCGATGGTGGATTCGAATTTTCGATGTGCTCTCTCTCAGTCTCACCCTATGGTTTGGTTCCCTCCTGCAGTGAGTTACTACGCCTACTACGGGAAAAAGCTGGATCCGGAGCCGTGGCGGTGCCGCCGCACCGACGGCAAGAAGTGGCGGTGCTCCAAGGAGGCGCACCCCGACTCCAAGTACTGCGAGCGCCACATGCACCGTGGCCGCAACCGTTCAAGAAAGCCTGTGGAATCCAAGACCGCCTCGCCCGCGCACCCGTCGCAGCCCCAGCTGTCCACCGTCACCACCACCACCCGGGAGGCCGCTGCCGCCGCGCCTCTTGAGTCCCTTGCTGCGGTGGGGGGTAAGACTCACGGCCTGTCCCTCGGCGGCGGGGCTGGCTCATCGCACCTCAATGTTGACGCTTCGAATGCTCATTATCGCTATGGCAGCAAGTATGGTTACATCCGACACCCCCTTTTTTTGGTTCTCGTTGTTGCTATCGAATTGCCATTGGATTGGATTTGCCTGGCCTGCTTGCTAATTATACTGGGATGCAGCTGTGCTACAATAGGTTTTCTTGCATGATTGAGTGGGGGCTGAATTACTGCCATGCTATTTGAGCTGGGACCATTATTGATGATGCTATGGTTTTCATTGGTTCTCTTTTTACACTATTATTGCAAAAGGACAATCACACCAAATCACACTTTGGTGTATTGACTCTTCAACGGCAAAAGCACTTCTGCCACTCGCTTCTTGCAGTTTTAGCCCTTATTATTATATATATTGTACAATATAGAAATCTTTTGCAGTTTTGTTGTAAGTGAACTGACGTGCCTGCTATCCCCTGGGCCCTGGCTGCTTCTGGTATCTTGGGGGTGTTTGGTTCTTAAGTCGCTCCTAAAATTTATGTCACATCGAATGTTTAGATGCTACTAAGGAGCATTAAATATAGATTAATTACAAAACCAATTACATAGATGGGGCTAATTTCCGAGACGAATTTTTTAAGCTATAGAAATCTTTTGCAGTTTTGTTGTAAGTGAACTGACGTGCCTGCTATCCCCTGGGCCCTGGCTGCTTCTGGTATCTTAGATGTCTATAAATATATGTGTATGTTCTGAACAACTTAGGCTCGCAGCTGCCATGTCCATGCCCTATGCAACATAGGTCTGTACTAGTATTTCAGACAGATTTTCTTATTAGCCCCCTATTTTGTACACTCTCTCAGACACATTGTTTTTTTTAGTTATGAGTTTGTATAAGGATTTGCGCATCAGCGGTTGCTATAGCTTGAGATTAATAACTCGTTATGCTGCTTTTGACTGTTTTTTGTTTTCCAAGACAAGATAGCAGTTCATCTCGTGATTTTAGGTGCTTCCTGAGCTTGATTTTCTGTCCGGGTTGGCTTATTAGCTACTATTTATTTATCACCTCTACATCTATTTCACTTCATACATGTCTAGCCTGTTGCTGTAGGCAGAAATATCATACTAGAGTAGACTCCAAGCAATAGTGCCGGACTGACATGTTTTCTGTCAGTTCATAATTATTTGTAGCAGCTTGTGATCGTCGCATATCCATAACCAATTCATTTGGCAGGTACCCTCTTGGAGCTAAATCCGATGCTGGCGAGCTGAGCTTCTTCTCAGGAGCATCAGGAAACTCGAGGGGCTTCACCATTGATTCTCCTTCAGATAACTCATGGCACTCCCTGCCATCCAATGTGCCCCCGTTTACATTATCCAAGGGCAGAGATTCTGGCCTCCTGCCTGGTGCCTACTCCTACTCCCACATTGAGCGGGCACAGGAGCTTGGCCAGGTTACCATCGCCTCGCTGTCCCAGGAGCAGGAGCGCCAGCCGTTCAGCAGCAGTGGTGCTGGAGCCGGTGGTGGGCTGCTCGGGAACGTGAAGCAGGAGAACCAGCCGCTGAGGCCCTTCTTCGACGAGTGGCCTGGGACGCGGGACTCATGGTCGGAGATGGACGAGGCGAGGTCCAACAGGACCTCCTTCTCGACCGCCCAGCTCTCCATCTCCATCCCGATGCCCAGATGTGAGTTGTTTCCTACTGATCTAGTGTTCACCTTAAGTCTTTAACCATCTCAGAAACTGGAATCCTTCTGTTTGCTTCTCTAATCACGCTTGGTGTGTTCTGATGACATCGATCGTAACTGTTGCTGCAGGTGATTGAGAACGAAGCTCGGGCGGCCACTAGGTGGTGGTGTCGCATGACGCTCACCAGCATCGCGCTCGCTGCTAGCGAGCCGTCAGCCGGAGATTGTTGAGCCCGCAGCGCCTGCCCCTGCCCCCCGCCCCCTCGCCCACGACCATGCCGTAGCTATTTGTTTATCGCATTAAGAACAGAACTCTCTGTAAGAGCCTGATCCTCATGTATCAATGGGATTCACTGAACTCCATCCTGTTTCTAAGGTTGTACTACCGTGCTTTGTATTTGTTGTACCCAGACCGAGAATGAAAACCGCCCAGTCATCAGTCGTCGCTGCATTAGATGATGCAAGTGTTTTGTGTGCTTTCCAGATTGTGTAAAATCTGATGGCGAATCTGATACTTGAGCGCAGGTGTAGCATAGCATCTGTGGTACCTTTTGTTGTGCTGAACTGATGCAAAATCTGATGCAGCTGGGGTGATATTCGTGATAGGCCCCTTCGGCTCCGTTCGCTTCGCTGGAAAACCTTAAGCAAAAATAATGTTCCAGCTGATTTATTATGAGAGAAAAATATTGTTTCGATAGAAAAAAAAAAGCTGAAAAGTATGGATTATAAAAGAAATCTTTAATCTGTTTTTTCTAAGAAAAGAACAGAAAAGATGCTCCTTTTTGCTTGCACGAATTCAACACGGATGTGACGGTTCTGTTGCGCTCATTATCCTCCTTTTCTAAAATATAATATATATACTCTAATCTGAAGGACAAAAGGAAATGGAAAAAATAAAGAAAAGACTCAAGAGGCAGAGGTGAGTCGGCTGGCACTGCACGTGAGCCTGGCTCGTGTCTCCTGCGCAGCTGACCCTGAACCTGAACTGAAAAGGGCGGAATGGCTCCGAAGTTGGCAGCAGCTTTTGAGCTGAAACCGGAGGAGGACGGGACGGGGACGGCGACTCGGCGAGGCTGCATGCCTCATGCCATGCCTGCATCGTCGTATCGGCGTTGCACGCAGCTGGGTCGGGAGGGGAGATGCCCGAAACGAAAAGGCTGTGCGGCTGCCTGCTGCGCCCCTGCCGCTTGCTGCCTGCGGCTGCGGGCGACGGGCGTTGGTGCTCTGGCGACTCATCATCGGCATGGCCGGCAGGTGTCGCGCTCCAGGGGCCATGCCATGGCATGGTCAAAGGCGACGACGACGCCCTGAGCCCCGGCGGCCGACCATGAAATGCCCGGATCGCCAGAGCCCGCCGCAGGCCGCAGCCGCATTGGTACTAAAAAACGACGTCACGTCGCGCAGCGCAGCAAGGGTCATGCCTGTGCCTGATGCCCCTTTTCCGTCGCCTACCTGCAGGAGTGTCACTGTAGTATCCAGGGTGAGTGAGGGGCAGGGCATGGATCATCTTTTCCTTGGCAGCGTTGGTTGCTGCTGCTAGTGCTAGGCTGGCAAAGGCAATCAAGATGGCATCATATCAATATCACATCCAGGTGATGCGAGATTATAACTGACACGAGCAAAGATTTGTCATTTGTGTTGGCCGAGCATTGTCGCCGGTATGGTTTCTTTACTGCGTTCATTTTATCCTCACGAGCATTTGAATCGGCGGCTCCCTTTTGGTATTTGGCCCTGCTTATCTTATGAGCTTTTTTCAGTGAACGAATAATATTTTTCTCTTATAATAAATCAGTCAATAATATTTTTTAGTTTCGCTTATCAGCCAAGCGAGATGCTGCTTGGTTTGACTTGTTTTTACTATGTCGTAACTGTTCACAGCGAGAACAACTAACTGCATGTTGCATTATGTTTGGTTTGGCTCCAAGGGAACCAACCAATGCGCCCGCGTGCAAAGTCGTTCCCACCCACGTCCCGACGCTAACACCTACCCTAGCCATGTTCATCAACAACCAAACATGTATCGCTTTCCGTTAAATGATCACATTACCGTTACCATGCTTTTGACTGAACCAAATAACATCCTAGTTCGGTGGTGTGGTGGTGTCGTAACAGAGTTTTCCCTCTATTTGTATGTTTTATTTAGATATATATTCTTTTGCAAAAAAAAAACGAATGGAACTTATTTTGCAGAAATATACCCTATATCGGTAATTGAAATGGTGATGTTTAAATTTCACCAGATCAATTGGTTGGATTTTCCTTATACCTGCTTGATTTAATTAGCGGAAACTATCTTGCCTGTGTAATATTTCTTAAAAACATAACTTTTTATATGTGTTCAGATGGACTTTAATAAGAAAATTATAGAACTCGACCATATGTACACCTTTATAGGTCATAACCTTTACAATTGAAGCCATCTTAGTGCCAAAATAATCAATATAATGTATAGATATGAAGTTGTATTGATTACTGATTTATTACCGCAACAATATGGTTTCACATGAAAATTTTGTGAACTACAAAGTCATGTATCCTGTCGAGCTCTACAACTTCCATATATCCACCTTAATTCAAACTAATATGATTTGTTTAGATATGCCATGCTGGTGAATGGATAAAATCAAGGGCAATTTGTTTACCTCCAATGTAATATGGAAAAAACACTACTTTTACACATGATCTAATACGAAAATAAATTTATATGAAAATTGTAGCGCTTGATGAAATATGCATCTTTATATCTCACAAAGTTTTTATTTGAAGTATCAGGTTGTATGACAAGTTTTTGCAAAGTATCACGGAGTAACTATTCATCATCTCCAAATAATTTATCATCATTTATTAGAGTAGAGTTTCTTTTAAGATAAATTTCAAGGCACTCCTCTCTACATTCTATGATCATGAATATTGACATGTAAAACAAACATGAATGTAAAGAGAGGGTTTAAGATTTTTCATACATGAGAGGGGAGAGATGTCTCTTGCCTTTTGCATAGGTTGGAATATCTTATGGCGACTCTTTTGATTATTTCTTTATTGACTAACTAATACTACTAGAATGCATAAATAACTAAATGACTAAACCTATTACAACTAGATAACTTATTCAGTATGAATACTACTAAATATTTTTTTATTTTTTATTTTGTTATTATTTTATATATATATATATATTTTTTTTAAATGCAAACCCTATCCTAACATGCATAGCTACTATAGGACTTTATTTATTAACATAGTGTAGCTTAATGCAACTAACTAAGCATGCAATGCAAAGCAAATTTATTGAAAATTTAAATATGAGATGCAATTAATGAAATACAGTAAATATGCAAGGGATAGAAGACTTACCTTTTTGACGGGCTCAAGGTTATTCTTCCTTGAGCGGGGGTGTTTCCTCTTGTTCCACCTCGGAGGACTTGTCAGGGTCAGGGGATGACGAGTTTGAGGACGGATCTTTCTTTTTACGCTATCTCTTTCTAGTCTTTTTCTTCTTGATAGGCTACTCTGGTTCTTTAATTGGCTTTAGTTTCTTCATCTTTATTCTCTTCGGATGCTTCTTATTTTTATGTTTCTCATCAAAGAGGGATTGTCTAGAGGCAAAAGCAAATATTTCTTTTCTTCCAGCAAAGTGGAATTGGATTTGCCCAGAAGCCACATATATGCAAATATTTGCAGTATTAAGGAAAGGACAACCAAGGATTAAGGGTGTATCCTCGGTGTTGCCCATGTCTAAGATCGTAAAATCTATTGAAATATAAGCACTCCTAACTTTAACTAATAAATCAGTGGCTACTCCCTCGAGATAACGGGTGGATTGGTTGGCTAACTGTAAGTAAACTGAAGTTGGAGCTAAGGTAGTGTAAAACAATTTATCATAAGTTTTCTTAGATATAATGTTAACACTAGATCCTAGATCACACAGAACATTATGAAAGGTATAAGTTCCAATGGAGCAAGTAATCGTAGGGGTTTCAAGATCACCTTTCTTAATGGTAAATGGGGAATCTACTAAGTAGGAGCCCTAAGAATTTAAAGCATAGCCATACCTTGCCGTAACAAGGTTGGTTGTCTCCATGGTTCTTTCAGATTTGCCAGGAATTCTATCTTTTTCATAGGATGGTATGGCAACAGCTATTTGAGCTAATTGGGTTTCTATCATTTTATTGAAACTAAGTTGATTCTTTAAAGCAGAAGAAAACTCATCTAATTTAGCATTTATATTTTCCAACATCTTGTCATGAGCATGTAACTTTTATTAATGATTATCACTATTCTATCGAGGAAGGATGAAATGTATACATTCTTTGCATTGCAGATGGGTCATTCTACCATTGATGCTATAAACTTTAGATATTTAAGATTTAAGAAAAGCATAACTACCCCTATTGAGCTTTTAAATTATAATTGTGCATTAAGTTTTAAGGAGTTTGAAACCCACTTGCATATTATAGTCTTACAGAAGAGTGAGTAAGAGTAATAATCGATTTACCGCTTGATTGATTTGATTCCATCCTTGATGTTATTGTGGACGAAACACGTTATCGATGTTGACAAAGTTGAGATCCTCCTAGGTCTCGGGATAGGAATTTCCCGAATGTCCAACATCTCCACAGACTTCACAAGTCATGTAGGATTCCATGGCTTTGAGTGTCTCTTGGTCACTTACCTTCTCATAGTGTTCTACTCGCCTTGCGAGCAGATCCATCTTAGCTGCAAGCATGTCAATTTCTTTAATTGAATGCATACCTCATTTATAGGGTTGGAGTCGATCGTCGCTCCATCCTTGGTTGGAAACCATCTTCTCTATCAGTGTCTTGGCACCTGCAACACTTAGCGAAAAGAATGCTCCACCAGCAGCAGCATCTAAATGGCTCCTATCTAACGACACTAATCCATGGTAGAAGTTCTAGATCAAAAGCCAATCTTTCATGCCAAAGTGTGGGCATACAGAGATGTACTCTTGCATTCATTCCCAAGCTTCGGGAATTGACTCATCTGCTAGTTGTTCAAAACTAGAGATCTTATTGCGAAGAGCATTAGTCTTCCCCATATGAAAAAACTTGACTAGAAAAGCATTGGAGCACTTGTCCCATGTGTCTACAGCGTTGCGGTTAGAGCAAAACCATTGCTT